TGTGGGCCAGTGCTGTGAGCCCCAAAAGGGACTGAGGGCTCTCAGGCCTCCTGGCGGCATCACATCACCCAGAAAGACAGGGACTCCACGCCCTCGGTGAGGAGCCTTCCTCTCCACACTTGCCTGGTACGCGGGTGCCCCCAATCCAGGCACCCAGCTCCGCCCCTGGGAGGGGGCAGGTCCCAGAAGACCCAGGTGGCCAGAGCGCAGAGGGGGACATGCTGGCTGAGAGGGGACCTCCACCATCACGGTGACGGGGGACACGCTGGCTGAGAGGGGACTCCACCATCACGGTGACGGGGGAGCACGCTGGCTGAGAGGGGACTCCTCCATCACGGTGACGGGGGCGGCACCGCGGCGGCAGCAGAGATGATGGAAAGGGCAGAACACAGCAGAAGGGCCGGGGATGACGGGCTGCCCGAGAGCCAGACGGCCTGAGGGAGGCAGGGGTGGGCCCAAAACGGTCAGAGGCGGACAGAGAGGAAGGGGACGGATGCCATGTGGTGTGGGGCCTGGTCAGAGAACGGCAGAAAGAGATGGGTGAGGAGAGCAACGAAAGCTAGTGATCGAGAAGGGTGGGGGGCAGACTGACACGAAGTGGGGGTCCATATATCGCCCTGGAAAGAGAAGACAGAGTGAAGAAGGGGGAGGAACCAGAGCCCCGCCTCGTCAGGGTGCGGACCAGGGTGAATAGAGTCAAGATTGGCACTGATGGGGACTGAAGGTCAAGGTCAGACCGGGACAGAAATAGACGGAGGGTGTGGGGTGTGGGGTGTGGGGGGCTGAGCTGCTGCCAGCCCAGGGTTGCTGACTGTGCGTGGCCTATGGGTTTGGGGTCTCTTGGGGTGTCCTGGGCTGACTCTGCACTGTTTTCCCAGGTCTGCCATATATGCCATTTGGCCCCCCAGGACTGACGTTCCCACACCAGAACAGCCCTCTGGACCTGAGAGTGGCCCCAGCCTTGGACGAGACCCCTTCTGCCAGGGTAAAGCTGAGGAACTCTACCCCAACCCTCTAGATGGGTCCAGCTGTGCAGGGGTGTGGCTGTTCCAGCAAAGCTGCCCAAGGAGCCTGGTGTTCAGCTCCCCCTGCAAATGCTGCACCTGGAGTGGAGTCCCCAAGGCCCCTTCGGCCCCAGCGCCCAGGCCAGAGCCCGGGATCCCACCACAGCCTGCCTCCCCAGATCACCCTGGGGCTGCAGTCTGGCCCCTGCAGGCCTCCCTGGGGTCTTTCCACACCTCAGCTTTCAGCTCTCAGACCTGGGTTCCTTTGGGGCTGGTCCTCCTGGGCTGCCTCTTTTACATGCAAAATAAATCTTTGGTTTGCACCCCACTGCCCCCAGATGTGGTGATTCACAGAGGCCCTCTAAGCACAGTTAGTACAAAAATGGCCCTGGGGAAAGTAGGGAGGTAGGAGGGGAGGGTGGCATCAGGCAGCACTGGTAAGAGCCAGGCAAGAGGCAGTTAATTCACGTGTGCCAAGCCCTGTGCCGGGTTTCACCTCCAGGACTCCACATTCCAGCGGGCAGCTTCCAGGGCACAGATGACAGCACCTGGGGCACAGCCCTGGGTCCCACACAAGCTTCATTGGCTTGGAAACCTTTAGAGAGAGAACTTCCTCACCTCCACTCAGGTGTTACTTCCTAGATGCACACGAGATGGCAGCAGAGAATAACTTTACCAGGTGACCTGCAACCAGGTGTTTTCTTAAAACTCACGCTAGATGGCAGCAGAGCGGAGCGTTTCCTGGTGACTTCCACTCAGGTGTTATTCCTGAGATGGACGGTAGATGGCAGCAGAGAATAACTTTTTCTGGTGACTGCACACTAGTGTTAATCCCAAAACTCACACCAGGTGGCAGCAGAGAATAGCTTTTCCTAGTGACTTGAACATGGTGTTAAGTCCCAAAATGCACACTACATGGCAGCAGAGACAGGTACTCTTTCACATTGGTGGGTACAGGACAGTTAATAAATAGTTCACCTTTTACAGCACACAGAGATGGTAATCAGGGGACAAGAATGACAATGTGGAATTCTGTAGTTTCCTGCTCTGGTCTGGAAAAAGCGATGACTGACATTCCAAGGATGTGTCCTAGATGCAAAAAGACAATAGACAGGCCCACTTAAAGGCACAGATTAACTTCATGAAGGAAACTTTTGGCTAAAGATGTGACTTCCCGCCATGACACAGTTATAAAATTTTTTTATACTCACGCCATCTTATGTGGTTATTTTCAGTCTCCTGAGCTCAGGTTTAACGTGTGGCCCTTTTTCCGTCCACAACTAAAGACTATATGCCACAAAACTTATATAATTTTATGGGCTTGCCCAGTGGTATTCAATCAACATTTGCTAAATGACTGAATACACTTCTCAAAGTACCAAGAAGCCTGAATCTCCAAAAACCCAGACAAGTATATTCTAGAGCAGATGTCGGCAAACTGCAGCTTGCGAGCCACATGCGGCTCTTTGGGTACGTTCCGTCTCAAAAGTTTGCCGACCCCTGGATGAGCCAATCTTGTCACTCACAACAAATTAAAAATTATTCGAGAGCCACAAATGTTTTTACAAATAAGAAAATTTAAGGTAATATTATAAATGAAACTATGATAGTTTTATTTTCATTTCCAATTTTACTTCAGAGCCACATGTACGTACCCAAAGAGCTGCATGTGGCTTGTGAGCCGTAGTTTGCCGACCCCTGTTCTAGACTAAAGGACGTTGGTAGGACCTGTCCCGAGTTGAACAAAGCTAAGCTCTGTTACTTTTGACCTGTCCCACTCTATTCTGTGCCTTCTGAGCCCTCAACTATTCAAGGACTTTCTGTTCACCCTGCAGCCTGATTGGAGGGCACACCTGTGTGACTCTCCAGTTACCAGACACAAGCCAAACGAGGGACGCTGCAAAGTGCAACGCAAGCTCCAGAGCTGGCAGCAAAAGGCTTATGTTCTCTGTGCCGCTATACATAATCCTAAAGTGTTATTTAAAAAAACTACAAGGTCACTTTCTATAAAAAATGCTATTAAAGGTCAAAGCAAAACTTCGAGAATGAGCATGCCGTCATTAGGGGAACGCAATGAGGCCCACGAGGGACTGTCTAGGGATTCCCATGTGACATTTGTGTCTGATTTTATACAGAGAATAATACTTTTCTCTGGGTTTTTAAAGGCTTTTAAGAAAGGAAATAAACCAGGCTCATTTTGTTTCCAATTGTGATGTCCAAAGGCATATTTCCCATTTTCTACAGGCCTCCCAAAACAGGAAACAGGTATTTAAGATAAGCCTTTAAGTTCCTCCCCATTTTAATTCCTCTCTGGGCCTGAAGACATTTAAATAATAGAACACCCCAAATAACTCCTGTTCTTTTGGTACCTGGGACTATTTACTTTCCATTGACAAAGAGCCTGCTATTTCAGGTAGAAAACAGTCTACCTTTTTCTCAAAGTACAGATAAGAGATACACAAAATTTGATATTTTATTTAAATGCCCTCAACTTTCTCTTAACAAAATGGGAAGGGTAGCGTGATGTGTGTTTTCCAACACCACCAAGCAATGAACTCAATGCTGATAGTATTGTATCTACCTGGAGACAGATCACGGATCTCGCAGGTTAAGGGCTCAGTCCCACAGGCTCTGCTTGTCCCCCACACTTCAGATGCCAATCGCAAGTCCAGGTTGTCACCTACCCTTCTGACACACTGGCTCTAAATTGGAGGTTCCCGCAACCCCCTCCTCAGGTTCAGCTATAATTTGCTCAAGTCACAGAACTCAGAGAAGCATCTGCTTCCTGACCAGTCCATCATGAAGGACACAGGTGACCAGCCAGATGAAGAGGGGCACAGGACCAGGTGTGTGGGAAGGGGCACGTGGCTCCGGTGCCCTCTCCAGACGCCCCTCTCCCGTCTCCACAGTCCCCAACCCGGACGCTCCCAGAACCCGTCCTTCTGGGTTTCTCTGGAGGTTCCATCACACAGGCAGCACCGATTAACTCAGTGGCCTCCAGCTCCTCATTCAGCCTCCAGCCCCTCACCGCCCCCCTCCCCCCGGAGGTCACGGGTGGAACCCCAAGCCCCATCCTTAACTGCTTCCCACAGCCCCCTGGCAGCACAGACTCAGTTGAAAGGGCCTTGTCAGGAATAACGAGACCCCGGTTCACCTCTACGGCCTGAAGCCATTTCCAGAACTGAGGACGAGACCGACTATCGTAATGAGATGGTGCCGCTGTGCTTCTCCTCAGGAAACGCCCGGGTCGTGGCTCCGTGGGGAACGGAGAAAGGCCAAGTGCACCCTTCCCATGCTCGGGGTCCCCGCCCCGTCCTCTTAGCGTCACACGTCTCTCTTCTCCTTTGCCTCCTGTTTATGTTCCTGGCAGCTACCTGTATCATTTCAAAGGCAGCTCTTAGGTAGAGTCTGTGTTTTCTTTTCTGATTAATAAACCGGGCCTCGAGGGCTTACATTTGTCCCAATACACATGCCAAGTGGCACCTGTTTTCCTGACTGGTGACTCCCGTGTGAGAGTCCTGACCCCAGTTTAAGGCTTGTGGTTTCCTGCCACCTCCGCGTGGCCACACCCCATGGTTTCTAACAGGCCACGTTTTTAGGTTTCTTTGAAGCCAGACTTGAGAGACACGGAGAAACGGGAAACTGGAAGCACCTGTGGGGTGTCCCGGGTCCATCGCCTCGGGGGGGCTGGGCCGGCCTGGCCAGGTGGCCGGTGGTGCAGCCCGCGACCCTGTCCACACCCCAAGCCTCCAGGTTCCCCTTTCTCATTCACTAGCAATCCCGAGCTGACAGGAAACCTCGTCCTCCCGCTTTTGCATAACCACAGAAGAGTTCTCCGAGGGCAGGGATCACATTTTTCTGTTCACCCCCGAGCTCAACAGCGGGTCCGGTTACTAAGTAAAAACAGCAGCGAAAAGCAAGTGTGTCTTTCCGCTGGCTTACCTCTCATCTCCTGAAATCACGGCTTACCGATAAAGAAGAACACATCACTGTGGCCACATTTCACACTTGTACATTTTATTTAATTAAATCAGCCGCTGTACACGTTGCAGCTATGTATTGTTAGTGTTGTGTTTTCTCCATGAACTAATACATGCCCTCATAGATACAGTCAATTAGTGTCACCACCATGGGGAAAGATGCTGACTCAGCAACTGAAATTCACTTCTTCTCACAGTATTCAAGTTTCTCGATTACACAGCAAAAATCAGAACCAAAAAAAGGTGAATAACCGTTATGTTGTTACACAGACATCATCTGCACTGCAAATCACACAACAGAAATGCATTTCTTGAGCTCCAGTGAAGGTCTGGTGAGAAGGCCATGGTGTGTCTCGGCAAGTCCCGCCATGGGCCTCTCCGTTTGGCTGCCAAAGGGTGTTATTCCTATCCAGCCACCCAGAAGGGCGCGCGCGAGGCTTGGAGATCTGGCTTGTGGGGCATCTCCCTCCCGGGACACCCTCTCTCGGCAACACTACCTGAAATGACGAAGTGGCATTGTGTGTCACACTGGTTTGTGACATTCGGAGCAATGAGTCAGTTATGCACAACAGGAAAAGACCAGCTAGTATTGGAAAATGTTCCATCCGGGAGGACAGACTGCGGCGTGTGTTTGTTTTGAATTTCATCTTCATCGAATATACTTCCCTTTAACAAATAACTGATCCAAAATGTATACTGTTTATATGAATATATTTGTGACTACATATGTTAAAATGCTACACAGCTTCAACCACTAGAGGAGTGAGGAACAGGATGTGAAAATCGCTCAGATGACTGACATCGCTTCTTTAAAATAAACACACAGGAAAGTGCCCAAATGCACGTAAGGGTTTTCAAGGAAACCTGGAATTCAAACAAATAACCAAAAATTTTAACCAAAACCAAATTTTTAAGGATTTCTCAGCCTTGTCTGCAAGCTAAAGACAGACCTCGCTCGCTGAAGTGAGCAGTGCTTGCTCTGGGCGAAGAGAATGAAAACCATCCGTGTGACCAGGAGAGGGCTCTGACCGCGGCTTAGGGTTTAAATGCTACATGCGGGTATCAGCGAAGACAATACACCCGGAGAAAACGGAGGAGGCCGCCCCGAGCCGGTGAGGGGCTCCGTCCCGTGTCGTGGGCGAGCCTGCGGCCGACGCGCTGTCCCCAGTGCAGTGGCCGGAAGGAAGGATGGCCAGGAAGACAGCGTGGTTGAAAGCAGCAGTGAAAACCGGACACGACAGCAGTCGCGCATTTCGAAACGCCCTGCTGACATGTCCTGCTTGAAGGGACCCCGCGTGCTAGATGGCCACCGGCCGTGGCTGCTAGCACCTGAATGCCTCACTGCTCCTGGCCTCTGCTCCCTTCCCCAGCCCTCAGCGTAGCTGTCCAGTCACAGGTGAGGGCGGGTCCCCGCGGTCACCACCCCATCTGTAACTAGGAGCCATGGCTACGCTGAAGTTCTAAGAATGTGGTAGGTCTGAAGTGCTTCTTTTGAGTAGAAGTGTGTTGTCATTCGATTGTGTGAGCAGTATCTTAACTAACCACCACGCAGCAAAGTCTAGAGGCCTCTACCCAGGGGCCCATTGTGGACACGGCGGGCAGTGTGTTCATCTGACCATTTCAGCTGTGAACACTGGCACGGGCGTCCCTTCAAGGACTCCTTACATCGTCACTGGAAGAGGTCTGCAGCGAGGGCGTCCGGTCGGCGGGTTCCCTGGAGCCTGTGCGGGAGCAGAAACGATGGAGGGGCCGGTTCCCAGGGCAGCACACACGCCACACAGGCGTGGGTACGGCTCCCGGGAGGGAAGATGCGATCTTTGGTCACAAATCAGCTTACAGTTAAAGAGAATGGACAACTAACCAAATGCAGCCAGAAGTAGTTGCTAAAAGTGGAAACGTCCGGTACCCACTGGGCCACTGAGGTCTCTCTGCTGACGAAGGGGGTGCGCACAAGTGGGGGCCCCTGCGGTGAGGACGGGCGGCCCTCACTTGGCCTCTGGCTGCAGGTCCCCCTCGCAGAAATGCCGCAGGAGGCGCCGGAGGTCGTGTCGGAGGTCGTCCTGCCCCAGGGCTTCTGGCACGTCCTCCAGGTGCTCCAAGGACACGCGTGTCCCGTGCCGGTCCTTCACCACAGCCCTCTTCCGTGTGCTGGCTTTACTCATCGTCGTCCTGGAGGGAGGCACACAAGACAGTCAGGCTCCCCTCACACTGACAGTGGCCACACGTGGCTGCTGTGTGCTCCAGGGCACGGCTTTCAGAGAGCGGGCTGGTCCTGGAGCCCTGATCCCACAGCCTGACAACCAGCCAAGGGGAGCAGTTTTCATTCAATTAACGTAATCCCCCCAACCCCTCCTCCCCCCTGCGGCTTCCGGCTTAATGCTGAGTCAGCGCCCACTCACTCCCCAGTGTTCTGGGCACTTTCATGTCTCTAAGCTGGGATAGCAGTCGGTCAGGACGGAGGACAGTGGCCCAGAGGGAGGTCTGCGCCACCTCTGAAGCTTCACCTGGAGACGGAGGGGAAGGGACAAGGGGGACCCCTGACAGACAGCCTGCCGTCCTCTCGGCGCCCCATGCACTCTGCCCAGCTCACGTCTCCTGCCGTCTGGGCTCCCTCAGCAGACCGGTGACCACCTGGAAAGGGGGCTGTCCCCCTATTGTGTTCCTGTCCCCTTACTTGAACACCATCCCAGTGTGATTAGTTCGCTCTCAGGTCTTCTCACTGCCTACTTGTAAATACGGGTCTCCGTTCCACACACGTGCAGTGAGCGAGCTGGGTGTGCCAGGTGCTGCCGCTATAACACCCACCCGGGAAGCTGCATCGCAGAGAAGTAAGCCTTGCTCCAGGTGGGAGGCCCCACCGTGAGTGCGCCGTGGGGCCGGAGCCTAAGGTCCCAGCGCTGGGTCTGTGAGCGCTGTCCACGTGGCCTCATGCCAGGCCGCGTGGACACGGTCAGTTTCCGCAGCGTCACCCAGCGCTGTCCTCAGGGAGCCCAAGGGCCCCGAGCTGGAGCCCTGCCCTGGGCGACGTCCTCACGACCCTCTGCACCTGTGAGGCTGGCCCTGAGTTGTCAGCCGTTCGCTTCGGCCAAAACGCTGCCAGGTCTCCTCTGGACGCCTCGTCTCCTTCTCTCCGGCCTCTGAGCCCCCCTTTCCTTCACTACGCAAATGGTTTTGGATCTGAAAGCAAACTTAAACTTGTTCCTCCTGATCAAAAGAGCCAATTTGGTTCCGATGGCTGAAATCCATCATGGTTTTCTAACTATTCAGCACCCATAATTTCCCTTGTCTCCAAAAAGGGAAATACCTGACTCTCTCTGCCAAGAGCTAGCAGGAGCCTCGATGGCTTTGGCCTTGGGGCTAAGCCCCATCACAGGCCCTTCCCTGGAGGTCTGTGCCCACGTGTGTGATGAATGTGTGACGAATGTACGTGTGTGTGTCACTCGGCGATGGGACTTCCTCCTCTGTCCCAGGAGCAGGGGACATGCTAAATGCCTCAGCAGGGGACAGGGCACCGCACATGCATCCCAGTAGAGCCCCTAACCAAGTGCTGCGGGGCTGGGTTAGTTTTCTGCATCCCTGGCCTCAAAGTCATAGCCGGAATTGAGAATTTCGGAGCCCCTGGTCTCCACCTGTTTCACTGGAAGGGCCCGTGATGCCGGGCTGTGCGTGGTGACCTGTGTGGCTGCACAGGAGACTCATCAGTTCAGATTGTAACAAGCGCTCTACCCTCAACTCAGGGAGTATCTTCCAGTCTGTGAGCACCTGTGTCTCAGGGTCACAGCGGCCGCGGATTGTCACGTTATTGGAGGGCGACCCTGTGACAGAAGCTTTAATTTCACTGTTCTAAGTATGATGTTTTACAGGCTAAACATAACTTTGCAGAGTATGTTCCGTGACAATCCTTCTCTTCAAGGAGCGGAAAGCACAATAGTAACTTTGATTTCCATTGTGTCTTTTTGCTGCAAAGGCGGAGCATTTTATTAATAGTCACAGTGCTGCCAGAGGCCCAGGGAGAAGTGGGAACAGACGAAGGCAAGACGCCAGTTTACAGACCTAACGGTGAGGGGCACGGGGCAGCGGGCAGAGCCACTCAGAGTGCCCGCTCACGTGCTCGGAGGCAGGCGGCCTCCTGCTTCCAGACACTTTCTGACTTACGAAAGCGCCTGATTTCAGCACCGCTGGGCACGTCCAGGTTCGCGCTCAGCACGACGCGCTCATGCAGAGCCCTGAAACAGCTTGCAGGGAAGCCAAGGCAAGCGCCACTTAAAGAAACTTTACTAAGGCTGATCTGGAGGTGGCGGTTGCAAGGCTCATTCGTGAGCAGCTGACTAGTTTTCTCTCCCTGTGCTCTCCAAGTATATCACCAGGGGACACCCAGGTGGCTGGCCTCAACAACTGGCGACTTACTGAAACCCAGGGGGTGACTGTGGGCACAGGTGTCCACTCGTGGTGCGACACGCTGACAGGTCTGCCACCTGACAAAAGTCTTACCATGGGGCGGGGAGTGGGGTTGGGGGCTTCACAGTGGGTGCAGGGGCTCCATTTTTCTTAAAGTCAGAAAGCTTTTCAAGGTGTTAGTTGGCACAACCCATGCTAACGCAAACCTTTTAATTACTGATCCATCCTCTTTCAGGATTTGATTCTCTACTAAAGTGGGGAAGTGCACTTTCATGTGGTTACCTGTGTAACTCAGAGCCTGAAGCGAGAGAGAAGAAACAAGACAAACTGTCACCAACCAGGGGCTCAAAAACAACCTACTGCTCGACTTACCTGATAGTCAGTATACAAGATACACTAGAAAGGAGAAACAAAAACCGTTCTCAGGAGCAGGTCTCAGCACGGAGTTTGACTGCCATGTGCCCCATCTGTGAGGGGGATTGGTTATACGTTGGGTTGTCGGAAAAGTCGTGATGTATTTTTTCTCTGTTTTTCGTTGCAAAAATGCATCGTAACTTTCCCGACAACCCAATACTTGACAAAGCTGAAAACCAACATCCGTTGACTTTTGATTCCCTCCTCACCTCATGCCTCCCAGTCACAGTGGAAACTCTTAACGACAAACGCAATGACAGAGGCGAACCCAGGCAACACACAACTCAGGTAATTCACCTTCTGATCATCCAAGGTCATTGGCTGCCGAAATGTGAAGAACTAAAAGCATTTGAATGAGGTATGCTTTTACTGTCGCAGCACATTAAGATATAAACCCTCTCAATGCACATGTAGGAAGACAGCCCACAGGGGGCGCTGGCCTCGACAGTTTCAGCAGCAGTATCTTCCGGGCATCTCTGCACACACTCACCATCCCGTGTCAGAACCCCTAGGGCTAGATGTGTTTCAGAGTTCAGATTATTTTTCCTTTTGGACTTTAGAAAGGTAATAGGATGTAAATAGTGTGTATTCTAATATCCCAGGTGGGTTGGGACAGCAATCACATCCACTAATCCATCAACAGCAAAACATATAAATATTCACTCTAGGTAGGATAAAAAGACATGTCATTATAGCTCCATGTCACTTCACAGTAAGCTTTATTGCCTAAGTAGCTTGCTACTAGCTTGTAAAATTTGTTTTGGTTTTCAGAATTTTGGGATTTGTGACTTGTTGTAAGGATTTGTGGATCTGCGACTGTAGACCCATTTCCTAGTTCCTAGAAATCACAACTTAATAATAAATACTCTTTTTATTTATGGTATAAAATATATCTGAATTCCCTTTAATGCCTATCACTAGAAGTATCTGAGAACACTAGCTAGCAAAGATAATCTGCAACGTCTTTATTTTGTTCCCTTCCTAACTAGGAGTGCAAGTCACACCAGGGCCTTTCAAGCAAGACATCCTGATTGCGCCAGGCTCCTGGTCTGACTCGGCTGAACTGCAGCTGGGCATCTAGATTCTGAAAAGCTCTAATGCAGACATTGAAATGCCAGAGGCTGAGGACATACTACCTCACCGAACAACTTATTCAAACAGGGCTGTTCTCTCTCGAAGTGTCTGCGCCCTCCCGTGAACGCACACACGGAGGAACACAGCCGTCAAGGGTTTTCTGTTCAAACGCGATGCAAACACGAAACACACACACACACACAAAGACAAGGTGAAGGAAGATGGTTTCAAACCTCTTCAAAGTCTTCTTTGGCTGAAGGAAGGTCAGTGGCTAAACTAGAGTCGCCCAGATGTTTCTCCATCCTCTCTCCATGGACCATCGTTGTTTTAATAACTTTGCTGACTCTACGGCCTTCCACTGGCTCCGCCTGAAATTGCGAGGTACCGCCCGGGATGCTGGGCTCACACACGGTCACCTGATGAAGGCAGGACACACAGTGCAGAGTTTCTCACTGAACCAAATGTAACAATGGAGGACTGTTCTATGTAAAAACAAACACACTGCTATGTTACAGACTGACTTCCCAGAAAACAGTGTTTTGAAAAAAAACAGAAAAAACCTACAATTAATTGATAACGTCTGTGTAATCATTCTCTGTACACAGCCCAATCAAACACTTAGTCACTTGAACAAAAATCTGGCAGAAGTTTCGGAAGACAGTGCTCAGTGTGATGCGGCCATGACACCTGCGGATGAACTCTCTTTTCCCATCTAAACGGTTTGTTCGGACATTATGAAGATGAAATGAACCCCGATGGAGGAACTCTCAATGACATGAGCCACTGACAAGCACACGTCTAGAGCCCCGTGCATCACAATGACATTTTAAGGATGCAAAGAAAGCAAAATGTGTCCAAGAGAGTCAACACATTCCTCAAAGAGGGGCGTAAAAGAGAAAGAACCCTGTGAATGAAGGAGTTTCTGGATCCTGATCAGTGGCTCTGAAACGCGGAGGCCAGAACATGGAGCACCTACTGACGTCCCCGCGGAAGGCCACCAGGATGGCCGCACTGGTCCTGCCGTGCGCACGCATGGGGACACAGGGGCACTTCTGCATGTGCATGGGACCTGTTCACATCACTCTGCTTGCCCTCAAGTGGGTGTCTAGCATTTTTGGATTTATGCTATGGTCAACTATAAGTTAAGTAAAAAATAGAAACAAAATCAATGAGTGTGATGGCTACAGATCTCACAGGTGGTTACTTTATAATTTCACAAAATCAGGAAAGAAGAATGAATGTGCAACTCAGAGCAGACTCCACATCGCTGCGCCTGTCCGTGTCCTCCGAGTGCCATGTCACCTCTAAGTCTTGGAGCAGCTCATGGCCTCACCTCTGACTGCTCAGTGTCACTCTTCAGTACAACACGCTTTATGACTCGGGAGTAGCCGTCCCCATCCTCGATGCGGACGGGTTCCTGGGGCAGTCCCTGCACAGTGACCTCTTCCTTCTCAGTGCCATCGGGGGACATGTACCGCCTGATGATTTTCCTGGTGACCTGGAAGACATTGATTCATGTGTCCTGTTTCTGAGTGACAGGACCAGGTCCTGATGAATTTAGGCCACTCTGAAAGCAGCCTGTGGGGACAGGTGGGCCAGTACCTTCCTCACCACGGTGTGTCCGTGTTCGTCCACATACTTCTCTTCTGTGACAGTTTCCGGGGGCATGTCAGGCACGTCATCCCCCTGAAGAGAGAAAGGGTCAGTCCAGCACAGTGTGGCAGCATGTGAGGCCCTGACAGGAGGGCTGCCACACCCTGAAAGGAGCTGTGGACAAGCATACTGAGTGCCACACCATCAGGTAGGTTTAAGAGAAAAAGAAGGCAGGTCATCACATGCTTAGGAGGAGGTGACCAAAGTTAGCTAAAATTCACGCAAACACACAAGAACAGGCCGCAGGTGAAGGGTGGAACAGCAGTGGTCACTCTGCCGGGCTGTGGCCCCGAGGAGGCCGCGAGCGCCATCAGCTGCATTTTTTTATGACGTAACTTAGGAGAGTTAAGGGTCAGCTTTTGGGAGGCCATGCACTGCCCGAGGAGCATGCCAGGCCTCACTGCCCCAGGGCGGTCACTAGCGTCCTGCGTGTGCGGTACCTGGATAATGACCCTCCGGCGGACAACCCTGGTGGTTACCGTGGCCTCCTCCTCTGAGCTGGCCTCCAGTTCCCCTAACTCCTCTGTTAGCTCCTGGAAGCATGGAAGCAGGTTTGTTGGTCATGCTAGGGGATGTCTCACTGCTGGCTTCTGCCCTGCACCTTATGCTGATCTCTGACAGTGTCACTCACTGGAAAAGCCAGCAGGAGTGGCAACTGCATGCTAATCTCAAACTTCAGTGAGAACAGTTTTTTGTTCAATGAATGAAAAAATTTTGAGGGCTGTTGGGACTGTCAGAAGAAGTCAGTGGCTTGCCCTCACCTCTCCTGTAAGGAACTGAACGCAGACCCGGGACCCACTGACACTCGGGCCTCGGCTCCAAGTGACTGACCCGAAGGAACAGCAATGTCTTCTGCTTGTAGCAGAACCACCTGCAGCAAACCCAAGCGTCCCGTGGCTGTGACCAGCCAGCAGTGCATCTCCCTGGCATCAGCTAGGCCACCCTGAGCAGTGTCACTCATTCTGTGAGATGCTGGGAGGCAGACACCAGCCTGAGCTAACGAGTGTGGCCCAAAGCTCAAGATGACATCAGAACATAACCTCAGATTAGAACTTAGGTCTTGGAGTCACTCTTTCCTAACGGAATGTTATTTTTTTTTAAAGAAAACAACTAAATTTTTTCAATATACTTTAAAATATGGTCTTATATTTCTATATTTTTTTCTGCAAAAGGGAAACACATAAATTCTAAACCAAACTGTACTTTAAATACACTCAGGAATCTGCTGCCTAGATATAATAGGTCACCAAGAAAAGTGATTAGAGTTGGATCCTCAAGTCAGGGTCCTGAGATGCGATGGGTCAGAACAGGAGGTGAGGCGAATGCTGGGTGCTTGACAAGCGTAAGGGCCTGAACACAGAGCAACTTACCACAATTTACTCATACGCACAGAACACAGCGAATATATCAATTATCCAGGTGATTTTTTCACGTCCACACTACAATTAGCTTATGGGTTCTTAGGCTAAATTTGGTAACTTTTAAGCCCAGACAGCGCCTATTAAACATTTTTACTGGAATTGATTTAAGCCAAGAACTTGAGAGATGAATAATTCCGTGCAGAGGCAAACATGAAATAAAAATCCATTCATGGAATGAATTCATTATTGAAGACAATTGCCGAAATCCGAAAAAGTTCTCATCTGCCTTGACTGCTTCTAATTTTAGTCATGATTTTAGAGCAGCGGTTCTCAACCTGTGAGTCGCGACCCCTTTGGGGGTCGAACGACCCTTTCACAGGGGTCGCCTAAGACCATCGGAAAACAAAAAGATATTTACATTACGATTCATAACAGTAGCANAGATGTCTTACCGTCATACATTTTCACAGCAAGATTATAATATTCTGAAGAAGATTGCTCTAGATCAGTGGTTCTCAACCTGTGGGTCGCAACCCCTTTGGGGGTCGAATAACCCTTTCACAGGAGTCGCCTAAGACCATCGGAAAACAAAAAGATATTTACATTACGATTCATAACAGTAGCAAAATTACAGTTATAGAGTAGCAACGAAAATGATTTTATGGCTGGGGGTCACCACAACATGACAAACTGTAGTAAGGGGTCATTAAGCGGCATTAGGAAGGTTGAGAACCGCTGTTTTAGATAAATCTGCTAGCAGACATCCACTCGTAGTGATCCAAAACAAATGTAGAGCTTAAGCCCAAAGATACATTGTCTTTTCCCCTAAAAGTTTTAATTCTTCTATCTAACTCATTCTTTCCTGCTAAGACAGATATTACTGCTTTAAAAACACTGACATCACACTGTTTGTGAATTCTAAAAGGAAAAATAATATGTAATTTAGCTTATATTAAATTAAGTTTAATTCAAACAGATTCTCACACTTTTTGTGTGAGAAAATCACCCACTGAGTTACTAAAAATGCAGACTCCTTCCCACCCCTCCCCCAGACTCAGGTGTTCAGGGGGAGCAGGCCCCCCGTTAGTGCTGAGGGTATGAACCATCCAGACCACATTCTGGGGATAAATGATTTAAATGAATTGCTTTCGACAGTCTCCAGCCCTCTTCATGACGTCAAAGATCACTTAATGACAAGCGACACAGGGCTGCATCTCATGCTGCTGCCGTTTAGAACCAGCAGCAAGTTGAGGCCGAATGTCCTTTTTCTAAGTCATTCTTAAAATACACAGGAGACTGAATTTGGAAAGAACCCTTCTGCAGCTGAGAAGAGCAGCCCACGCCCAGCCCCTGGCAGGTGGACCTCCCGCAGGCGGTCACTGGGAAAGCCACACGGGATATTATTTTCCCCCATGTTCATTTTTCTTAGCAACAGTTTCCAATGATTAAGTTAGGGTTTGTGGTCAAGTAGCTAGAATTGGAACTGTTTATCATTCTTTTCTAGGTTTACTGGTTCCCAGATTTTAAAAAACACTGGCGAGTTCACGTGGCCCAGGTTAATTTATTGGGCAACCTTTTATTGTGCAGTGAAAAACTAAGCCATCGGAGTAATGGAGAATGGTGGCAGCTGGCAGCTGTTCCACGTGGGCAAGGATCAGGGAACTTCTTACCCTTTGAAACGCTGCGTCCTCATCCAGTCTTTCAAATGCCGGTGGCTGGTCGTCAGCTGACTCCACGATCACGAGGCTGGTCTTCCGAGGAGAAGCCCCCTGCCTGTGTTCTGGGGGGTCCTCGGGCTCTTGTATGATGGGAGGGTCCTCCTGTGCACTTGACGTCGGGGGCTGGAGGTAGGGCCTGTCCTCCTCAGGTGGGGTCCTCACTTCCTCAGGTGTCTGGCTGAGAGAGCCAGGTGCTGCCGTAGCTTTCTGAGCGTCCCACACGTCTGTCCCTGGGGTTGTCACACTGAAACGGAAAAGCCAGATCACACCACGGAGCATACGCACTCCCCCCACTGAAGCAAGGGAAATGTGTCTTCACGCCCATGCAAGTCAAATAGGTTTGTAAATTTGGTCAAGAAATGAAATTTGAGTAAAAACTGTATGTAAAATATAGGCTAGAGTTACAGCTCATTGCTCTAGCACTGACTGGGAAAGATAAAAATTACCTGCTCTAAAGATAAAAATTATCCTCACATGTATAGTCATGTCCTAATCTCTACAAAGTGTATCAATTATAATTCTATCTTTCCTTTGATAACTCAAGGTGATTCTGAAGGTTTGCAAAACAAAGAGCTGTTACCAATAAGGCTTTTGAAGCAAGAATCTCAACTTGGCAAAAATTTTAAAAATCAATATATAAGCCCCATGTGAATATAGTTATCATGATTATAAACATGGAAGAGTCTTATTCTATGTCTGGAAAGCTACTGCTTGGCAGAAAGAAGTGCTGACGCTGAAACTTTTTCTGCTGACATAGTGTGGAGTTACTCCAGGGCAGTCTTTATGATCTCAGTTTCTAAAAAAAAAAAAATATATATCTGCCTTTTCTGCTCATTTTTATAATTTATTCCAATTTTCTGTCGCTCCATAAATATTCAATGTCCAGGGTGCCTCTCTGATAGCCCCCCTTTGCTTTTCGACGTTTCTTTTTTCCTCCTCTTTGCCTCTTGCTGACGCTCTCCCCTAAAATCTGAAGGTGATGGCGTAGCCCATTGGGAAGGGATTCATTCATTACCCACTTCACCCCATTCTCCGGTTCCAGTGACCCCAGCACAAACCTCACACAAGGACAAAGGAAAATGCCGGGAGGCAGTCTCCTGACACTGCTCTCAGATTTCCGGGCTGGGAATGCACCTGCCCTTCTCATGATGGGTTTTATCTTTCTAGACACAAGTGCATTTGAACAAGTCTCTCTCCTCTGCGTCCAAGAAGCCAGACCTGAGCTCTGAGCTGACGGCTCTAAGGACCCGGCCGGGCTCCCACTCCAAGCCAGCCCCCCTCATCCGGGGGTCATCTGTGTCAGTCATCTGCCTCTGTTTTATAAACTGTTAGCTGCCTGAGCTTCGCTGCCCAGGCCCGAGGCTGCTCCCCTGCCCCCACTGCAGACATTCCGAACCCACCAACAGGCACGCCTCAGAAGCGTCAGAGAAGGGGCGTGCGGCCACCGTGCAAGGAACGCCACGTGGTCTGCACAAACGTTGGTGTAAGCAGCGCTTTCGCAGACGCATCCCGGACCTCTGAGCCTGTGAGACGACCGAGGTGCATGTCATTATATTATCCTGGTTTACAGACAGATGTGAAACAGCCTCGGAGGCTCACAGCCTCGCCCACGGTCACAGGCCTGGAAGCTGGGCCCAGCGGGTCTGTGCCGCAGGCCGCGTCACAACCACATCTTAGGTGTTAAACCTGCTTTTCTCTGGAGCGTGGCCTGTGACTGGCGGGCCACTAGCAAGGCCCCAGGCCACTCTCGGCCGGTGTGTGCTGGCCCAGCTGCGGCTACGTGTGACCCTCATCCTCCCAACACTCACAAGTATTCCTGCGGGTGCTCCTCCCACGGATCCGCCAATGGCTCTTCCAGTGGGGTCCCCGAGAGACCCTGCTGCACCTGCTCCGGGTGGCGGTGGGAAGCGAGCGGGGCCGCTGAGCTGTCCCCGTCGGCTCTGGGGACACAGTCCTGAAGAGTGGAATGCCCCACGGAGAGGTCTTCGTCGGACACAATGGGAGGGTGGCTGTGGGGCCCGCTGTCCTCGGAGGCCACGCGCTCCTCCGCAGGCTCAGGCCGGGCACCGCAAAGCTCCTCGGGAAGTGCTGAGAAGCCTGCGGACAGCAAGGCAAGCTCAGGGTGAACCGACGCCCACCGTGTCAGATGTGCGGGTCTCCGCCACTGCGTGCCCTGAGCTGTGACAGACCCGCGGTTACAAAGCTGAAGACGCACTGCCTGCCTCTGAGACGGGGTCACCCAGGCGAGCAGGTGGGTGAGAGTGCTGACAGGGGCACACTGGGCCAGGTGCTCCCAGCTCAGGCTAGGGATCTAGGCAAGGATGCACGGGGGGGCACCGCAGGGACACCTAGCGATAAGCAGCCATCAACAGTGACAGCGGGGGCACAGGATCTGAGGGTAAGAAGAGTTAATAATAATAACAACAGCTAACAGTCTGCACACTTCCTGTGTGTCAGGCACTGTGCCAGGAGCTCTGCTGTGGTAACGTGTTGACACAGCTTGGAGGTCAGCATGCCTGTGCCAGGCCAAGGGCTTTCACAGTGTCCAGGGCACAGAGGGGTCACTGGAAGGTGCTTGGCAGATAGGCTGACCTTCAGCGACTCCTTCATTCACTCGCAGACATACTGAGTGACACTGGTCCAGTGCACAGGTGCTGTTTACATCTGCATGCAAAGCAGTGGATGACACAGGACAGCTTCTGTCCTCACTGAACTGGCATTCCTGCAGATATCACCTATGACAGACTCCAGGAGGAGAGGAAAGGGAACCAGGGTGGACACTGGCCCACACAGCCTCCCTGGGAGGGGTAGCTGAGCAGATGCCCAAATAGAGTGAGAGAAAAGGAAACCAATGGGCTGCAGGAGATCCCGCAAGAGTGGACGGAGCAGAACATGCCGGAACCATGACCCTGAGGAGGGCGCGTGGCCAGGGACACACGAAAGAGAGAGACAGACAGGAGACGGGACAGCTCTGAGGCTCTTGCTGAAAGCCACACACACCATCCTGTAAATCTGTGATACGTCGAAGCTGCGGAAGGAGGCCCAGGAAGACCAGCGAGTAAGAAAGGAAGAAAAAAACAGGCGAGGGTGTCATGGGAAGTGAGTGAAGGAAATGTTTGAGCAGGGATTAATTTTTTGTGTCAAATGTCACTAAGGGGTAAAGTAAGATGGACACGGGGAATTACTCACTGCATTTGGCAATGAGGAAACAATGGGCAAATTTTACAAGACTGTCTGTCCAGTGCTGAGGACAAGAGCCTGACGGGCGTGGATGCCACAGACAGTTCTGGAGAGAATGGCAGGACAGTTAGACTGTTCTGTTGACGAGATTTCCTATGAAATGGACACAGAAACAGAGCAAGCATATAGGGGCTAAAAGGAGTGGTGGGCTTAGTTTAGTTTCTAAAGATGGGTCCAGTCAGGCATGATTTGTGCTGGTGGCACGACCTGGCTGCAGGAGCCACCATGGACAACTGCAGGGGTGATGCTACTCTGGATAAAAGGGACAAGACCTAGTAAAGGAGACAATGGTTTTAACGAAGCAAGGACGCCTCCGGCAGGAAGGAAGGTAGAAATCAGCACAGGGTGCGCTCGGGGCGCGGGTCCTGTGAATGTGGACGTTTGCTCACGACTAGTCCTGATTTGTAAGAAACATGGAGCTTGGAATAAACAATGGGAAGAGAAATGCTGCAGGCTGGAGGAAGAAGCGAGTATGCGTGCAACTGAAAGGATGAGTCAGACATTTTCAGCGCTGAGTGGGTGGCAGGGCCAGTGGCCGGAGGTCCCAGTGGGTTTGCAGACTTGTTGGTCTAGACAAAAGGGAAAGTAAGTGCAGTGTTTCACGTGAGGAGTCGGAAGCGGCCCCAACGTGGCTGTGGACACAGAAGTGGAGGGAAAGACACACAGAGCAGAAGTGTCATCGAGGAACCAGGGGAGGGCACCAGGGGATTCCTGGGACTGGCTGTGTCCCCTGGAAATTTCCACACTGAAACCTTATCCCAAGGTGATGTCCTAGGAGGCGGGCCTTTGTGGGGTGGTGAGGTGATAAGGGTGCAGCCCTCATGGTGGGATCAGCGCCCCACAGGAGAGGAAAATGTGTGGTCACCAAAGGCGATCCACCCTCTAAGGGAAGGATGACCACAGGTCCATTTGCCTGAATTAACCATACACACGCGCACACACATGCTCACACACACACACACATGCACACACGTGCACACACACACACACACACACAAACACTCACACACATTCACCTTCACTGTCGTCCAGTGCAATGGTCGGTCCCATTTCCACAGAGCTGTGACTCATGTGTTCCTGCACAGGCTCCGTGCTGGTCTCCATGAGATGTACAATGTCCATTCGATTGATCTTGGTGAGACAGTCAGTGAGATTGGCATCTGGGACATTAGAGAAACAGCATTTACTGCACATGAGGGATTCCTTTAAAATTTCTCACTTAGCAGCCTTACTAACATTTTGATATTTGTACAGGAATAACTAAAGCCCAGTAAGGATTTTTGTAAAAACATGCATGCCAACAGGAAAGGTGTACAAGAGGGTGACGCAGTGAGGGCACGCGCCCTGACAGCAGGCCTGCCAGGTGGCATACAGGACGCCCAGTCACACCCGAATCCGACGGGGGACACAGGCGGCTGTGGTCCAAGGCATGCCACACATGCATGGGATATACTTGTACTAAACAAGCGTTTGCTGGCTGTACGAAGCTTAGCATAACCGGGCACCATTTTGACTTGCTCCGTCGGGCAGTCCCACCTGGAGGAATGCTGGACAAGAGGTGGCCGTGAACCCAGGTGGGTGAGGAAGTCTGTGGGTAGCGCCTCCGGCCGCCTCAAAGGGCGTGGGAAACAGCCCAGCGGGGGGCTGAGTTAGTCCTCACTGTATCTGAGGCGCTCGGACGCTCAGATATAAAGCATTACACGGGCGACCGGCGTGACAGTGTCCCGTTGCAGTTATTTAGGAGTGAACGAACGACAATTAAAGCCCTCGTGTCCAGTGTCAACATCCAGAAAACGCAGGGCTCTGACAGCGCTCCTGTGAGCAGCCGGCACAAATGCCACTTCCCACCGGTCAGTGCTGTTCGCAGGCGCGCAGTGTGCGCACTTGCACGGAACACGCACGTCGGCTTGTTCGCGCGTGTTCACAGCGGCCCCTCAGGTTGGGCATCTGCGATCTTAGCGAGTTTACGCGAGGGCTTGTTGGCCCCGCCCACTCGCCCCCGCCCGCCGAGGCCCCGCCCCGCGGCCCCGCCCACCTGTTGCGTGCTTGCCGTCCCGCTCCAGCCAGTACTTGAGCAGCGCGTGGCTCTGGTCTTGCAGCGAGTTGGGGTTCTCCACGCGGATCTGGTGGATCTGCTCCTCGGTGAAGTCCAGCTCCCGCGCCAACTCTAGGAGACAAGCCGGCCGTGAGCGCTGCCGCCGGCCCGGCTGCGCTCCGCGGCCCGGAGCGACTCTCACGCGCCTTTGTCCTCCCAGCACTAGTTGCAGACTTTTCCTTAAAACTGAGTAGTGACTCGATCACTGTCACGGTGGAAATGGTGATAAAATACGTCAACCCCAAGCGCAGAAGAGACCTGATGCTCTTAACCGAGATCACGGAAGGCACATGGCTGAGAACAGAAGAAACGGACCACTTCTCTCTGCATCATCGGGCGACGTTTGAAGAACTACAGAGCCTGTTTCCGGATACTTGGAGAAACACAGCTTGTGGCTAGATTATGCCGACTGAATCAATTCCTTCCTTTGATTTGATGTCATATAAATAAAAGGGCTAGGAAGCATTATTGACCTGGGAAGCAGCCACAAAATGTTCCTTTCAAGTCTGCCATGGACATTCTATGCGGATGCTTATACATTGTGTGTGTGTGTGTGGGGGGGTTGTAAGTGAGGTGTCCTCTTTGGAGGGCAATTTGCCAGTATCTTTCAAAATTAAAAATATACATATACTTTACTCAGCAGTTCTACTTCTAGGAATATGCCCTACAGATATGCTCACAAAAATACACCGATGCACAAGTGTATTTACTACCATTAGTAGGACAGACCCTAAATATCCATCAACGAAAGCTTTTGATGAAATTATGGTACCATCATACAGAACTAAATAGCCATTTAAAAGAATAAGACATATGTCTAGAGTGATGGAATGTTTACAAGGATATGAAGTAAAATTTTGCTTATGTTCCAATAACAGGCATAGATGTGAGCACTGCATATTTCTCCTGAGTCCATGAGAAAGCAGCAGCAGTTACCTTTCAGGTGACATGTAGGTGAAAGACTTACTTTTCATCTTCCCACTGCTCTGTATGGCGGTAGGCTCTGCATTTTCAACAAGTATACAGATATGACATTTAATATTTAAGAAACAAAGTAACTCTTTCCTAAGTCAACCAGGATGTTTTGCTGTCCCGCCTTCCCCTAAATTCTTCAATTACATCAATCTGATTAGTTTCTAAAGAAAATGGCTCTTCCTGCTTCCATTTATGCTACCTTATGGGTCATCTCTGTTAAGGGTATCTGGACTCCTCGTCATCACCAAATCTCTAGGAAACTGAAAGGAGATGAGTATTAAATGTACACTACGTGTTTCAATAAAGCAGTCACAGTGACATAATAGGAAGTCAGACCCGAAAGAGAAAGGCCAGAGACTGGCAATCTTGCTTCAACATGTTAAGTCACAGGGAAGGTGAAAGGGTATACAATCATGATTTCTAAGTAAGCCAGGCTGATTTTAGAATTCGCTCTTCCTTAATAAACTGTTTAACGTATATTGTAATTTCTACCCTTAACCATTCCCGTTTCTCTGAAACTTAGTCCAACAGCTCATGCATGTGTACTTTTCCCCCGAGCAGACTGCAGTGCTGGTCACGCCGAGCACACCTGAAATAAGGATCTGAAGTAAGAGGTCCTGGTTAAAGCTGAAAGGGAATGTGATGCCAGTGACACCTAACACTGTATCAGACGCATACGCTCCCCCAAGCTGAGGTGTTTGCCGCTCCCGAGACAGGGCAGCGTGCGCTGCGGTCCCATTGAATCTCCCAATCTAGCCTTCCATTATGCTACGTCCCAGAGACAATGAAAGGCCGTGCCTGGTTCACAGGCCGAGTTAACAAGAGCCTGGATTTTCTAGTCTGCAGTCCATTATGCGTTTCCCGATTCCACCCGTCTTCCTCAAGGAAAGAAAACAGGCCTTTCTCATTGTTAGTGACACTTGGCTGATGCAACTGTGTCACTGAAACCAAGCAGGTTTTGTTGACAAAGTGGGTCACACTCATTTTACCTGTCCAGCTGAAGCCGAGGTGATCGGCGATATATGCCAGCCTTTCCTCGATCCGTTCCTGCGCATCCTGCTGATCTACAGAAGGTCAAAAACAGAATGGCCAAAGGTTGTCTGTGACCAGAGAGGCCCCAGTGCTGGTCATCCACAGACAGGAAGTCACTTGTCCAAATATCTGATAATAGCACAATTTAGCTATTACATGTTAAGTCATATTAAATTGTGTGTTTGCCTGACATCTGCAATGGAATGGGGGAATAAATCTAATAGAAATCATGAAAACCATCTGCTTCCATATCTCTTTAATCAAGACTAGTCACCGCACATAATGTCAGTTGCCGATTTCTCGTAATCCTAGGGCTTTCCTTCAAAATTATATGAGAGAATACTGCCCACCAGAAAACAATCGTCCTGGTCACCCAACACCAGAGAAGCCATAAATGGGACGCAGAAGTGGAGTAGTTGGTTAGGACCTCTGTCACTGCCCGTGGCAGCAGAGATCACTTCCAGGTCACGTCTGGAAAGAATCGCACCCAGGAGTCACATGAGACCTGGACCGTGGGTGGATCAGAGCATACTGGTTTTCTCCAGTGTGGTCAGAAACATTTGCCTCGGTCCTGGTGACCCTGGAACGGGGGAGGATAAGTGAGTGAGTATGTGTGAGTGTGTGTGCACGTGCGCTGTACTAGGTAGGATGTGTGTCTTCGGGGCAAAGTTTGTCTGCTCACTACTAAGCAAGCTCATATATTACTTACACAAACTATAATTTTCCCATTTGTTTTTAACCCCCATTAATTGATGGGCAGCATTTTGGATCATGGTATCGTGACATTTTATATGCAAATTTAAGAAGACTAGTCTTAACTGTAGAGATATTGGAAGATCAGAGGCTACTTCTCAAAGCCATCTGTGGTTTCCTTTTTCATAATTCACAGCCATCACCCCCTCACAGCCAACTTGAATCATGCAAAGTTTGAGTTTTGTTGTCTCCTGCCTCTCATCGGAGTGCCTTCCCCATTCCTCCGTCACGCACATCAGCAAAAAGCACATTTGACCTGTGCTCTTTTTTTACTTAAAGGGTTTATCAACGGTGTTGGAAATCCGGCTTTCTGGTATCGAAAACAGATCCACAAAATTGGCATTTCATGATATGGAAATCTTCTTGAGTGGCTTCCTAATAACAAAATTAAGTGCAAATTTAATTTTAATTTTCAAGTACACAAAGGAGAGAAGAAAAACCAACAAATCCTCCTAACGTGAAATAAAACCCGATATATTCATGTGCAAAAGCACGAGTGCTGGATTTGCGGAGGAGCCTGGCGCTGCAGGACAACAAAACTCAAAGCTGGCATGGCCTCCGTGCAAGGTCGCCGGTGCCTGTGATGTTCGTGTCTCCACAGCAGGGTCACTGCTCAGTCTTGAGATCGTTTTCACGGACAGGAGCACACAGAGAAAGACACGACACAAGGGCTTACACAAACACAGTAGCCACTACAGGGAGCTTCAAGAAAATGAAGAACACAAACCACCACAGAAAGCAGACACACAGGAAAACGGCATCAGGTTGTGACATGCGTGGCCCGGGGAGTCCCAGTGGTGGCAGTACCTTCAGCAGGGTCACGGCCACTGTCATCGGGGATGCGCTCAATCAGAGTCTCAATGGACTCATCCCAAATGGGCCTTGTGTCAAAGATGTCCTCGGGGACCGAGTGCTCGGCCTCAGTAGGTGGCAGGTTTTCGATTACGGAAACTTCCAGGGCACTGCTACTTTCGTCATCTGAAACTGTCTCCTGCCCCCTTTCTGACTGTGTCAGCCTATCCACTAACTTGGACGCCTCATCACTAATCTCCTCGAAGAACTCCAGGGAGCTCCTGTAAAGGTCAGAGAAATGCTCCCTCCTTTCCTTTGTGGGGCTCACGGCACCCCTGCAGGACGACGTGGGGCTTCTGGTCTTCACCGGCAGCCGGGAGGCAAAGGGCTTGGGTCTGGTGACGCCCTCTTCTGGCTCCGGCTCGAGCTGCCCTGCCCCACCTCTGCCTTCGGCCTCTGTCTCGGCGGCGCAGTTTCTGGTTTTCAGCGGACATGTGGCCTTTGTGTCTGCAGGGCTGGTATCAGGCTCAGACTTGCTTCTGCTGTCGGCCGCCCTGCCCGCCGTGTCCTGTTCCTGGGGAGCCGTCTTCTGCAGAGGCGAGGCCAGAGGCCAGGACTGCTGCTCCGCTCTGTGGACGGGCGCTTTCACAGGGATCTTCGACTTTGGTTTTGTTTCCTCCTCTTTACTGTCCTCATCCAGGCAGGGAGGCAAGGTTTCAAGCAGGGACCTCTCGACCCCCGCTGCTGGGGCTGCTGGGGGCCTTATGGGAACGTTGGCATGGCTTTCAGCAGAAGGCACGCTGTCCATGGGTGCCGTGGGGATTTCGATGACTGACTTCTGTTCCTCTGGGGAAGAGTCGGGGGACTCATCACCCCGACCTGAATACACGGACCTGGTGACCGTGCAAAAGTCTAACTGAGCATGGCTGGCCAGTCCAGGGCAGCCAGGGCCAGCTGTATGCCTCTCGCTGTGCAGCTGAGGCGTGTCTGCCCTCTGCGTGGCAGGGAGGTCTGCGGCTCCCAGGGACGTAGCCTCCGGCACTGCGGTGTCACCGGAGCATGGCATCTCCTCTGCTTCCTCACTCAGGTCACCGGGGAGCAAGTCGGCTTCATCAGCCACCGTTTCCTTTGATTCTGAAAGTGCCAGTGACCCAGCTGATGTCTCCAGCTGGGGGGGCTCAGCGACGGTACCCGCTTCTTTCATGTCCTCAGAGACAATCTCTTCCCCGGATTCTTGCCCAATTTGGAAAAAGTGAAAACTTTCATCTGCGTAGGACCTTTTGGTCATATCGATGGCTCCACTTCGGGTCATCTCAAACAGTTTTCCTTCCTGAAAGAGAAACGGGTTCTGTTCACTGGTGGGGGTCCCCTCTTCGGTTGGGGTCCGAGCAGGCGTGGTGTCAGGGGTGGTGCCCTGGGACCGTCTGTCTACCATCAAAGCGAAGATCTTCTGTTCTTCCTGTCCCACCCGAGCCTCAAAGGCAGCGTCGTCCTCGCGCATCTCACTCCAGGGGTCACAGTCCACCTCGGTCGTTGTGACTATGACTCTGCTGGTTTGCTCGCCGACGACGGCTGATGCACTTGACACCGCAGGCTCTACGGATAAGGGGGTGCTCTCGGACCGCCTTTCCCAAGACGGACTTTCTCGCTGGGGTTCCAGTCCCATGCTCTGGTCCTCAGAGGCAGGCTCTGGGCTTGAGACAGTTCCGCGAGGGGAGCTTGCCACGACCGTGCCCTCGAGAGAGGGCGCCATGGTCCCGGGACACACTTCAGAAGCGTGAACGCTCGTGCGTCTTGCAGCTGTGTGGGTTTGGCTTTCTTCGCAAGAGAAAAAGGATTGGGAAGGAACATTTTCATACGGGCTTATGATCTGAGGGTCACCGAGGTCCTCAGCCTCAGCTGGGTCAGGCACCGGGACACCCACGGAGGCGCCATCAGTCTGACGGCTGACTGATGAGTCTTGAGCGGCATGGTCCTCCGGGAAGCTCTCAGGAGCCTGCTCAGGCTGTGTGGCCTCCACTGCAGAAGTAGAGGACGTGCAGGTTATGTTTTCATCGAATTCTTTTCCTTCAGATGCTGGACCATGAGGCACAGAGGACAAGGATGGGAAGCCTTCCCCGGGGCCATCGGCATACGCAGCCTGCACTGGGAAAGCACCACACCCTGCTCCCGCGCCCTCCCCGTGAGCGTCGTGCGGAGCGAACGCCTCCCTGTGGGTAACTCGCTCCTCAGTGGCGGCAGCAGCCATGGATCCCGGGGGCCCTGAAAAGATGGGGGCGGCTGAGCTGCTCAGATGCCCCTCCTCACACCCATGGCCGCCACAGAGGTCTGGCCGACCAGCACCGGTGTTCAGGCCATCACAGGACGCGTCGGGGCTGCCGGTGGGAGCAGTGGGACTGTCTTCAAGTGAACGAGATTCACAATCTTTCTCTTCTGATTTTCCCAATCCTTCCTGAGCGTCTTCATTCATCTTGAAAGTATAGTGTTTGGACGCGACAGGCTGGAACTGTCCTTCTTCAGGGCTGGAACTGGAGTCCCTGCTGGATGGCAGTGGGGACGGAGGCTGCACGTGGATGACCGGCTCTGGGAGGAGGCCTGAGGTGGCGCCTCTGCTCAGCTGTGTCAGCTCGGGCTCACTCTCTGAGGAGGAAGACACCTTCCTGCTGTCGGATGTGCCGGCCACAGGGCCGCCACAGCCATCCTCCGCGCTCTCCGTACCTGCCGGTTTGTGCACGTCTGCCGAACAGTCGGCATCGGGGTCAGAGGATGAAGACTCGTCTTGCTTGGGTTCTTTTCTGTAGTCCCTTTTCTGTTTTGCTTCTTGTTCAAGTTCATCAAAGGTTTTGATTTTGGTTACCATTTTAAACATTTCCTCTTCGGGTGTGAACCGTTTTTTCTCCCCATTTTCTGAGTCATCGTCCTCGACACACTCGTGAATCACAGGTGGTTTGGGGGTGCTTGTATCAGAGGCTTTGGGTGTGACCTCATAGCTAATTTCTTCAGAGCTGGGGGTGTCGGGAGAAAGGGGGCTCTTCCCCGAGCTCTCCACGAGCGACGTCTGCTCAAGGCTGTCATCCTCGGCACTGCCGTCTGGGTCTCGGAGCAGCCGGGACCGCATGGAGGCCACCTCCGTAAAGGGTTCCGCTTTGGCGACGGCTGCGGGAAGAGCGAAGTGACCTGGGACAATGCCAGCCTTCATCTTTGGTTCCACGGGGCTGCTTTCGAGAGAGTCACGGCAAGGGGACTCTCTCAGAGGACTGGGCTCCAGGGAATCTGGGGTTTTGTGTGACGAGTTGTCCTCTAGCACCGGGCTGGCCTCCAGGGAGTCTCTGTGGCTGACGGTCAGGGACTCGTCAGCCCCTGGGCTGAGGACCTCGGCATCGGGGCGAGCGAGTGCGAGCTCCAGCCCTTGGGGGCTTCGCGGGGCTGCCTGGGGCTGGGACTCGGCCCCGGGGCTGGTCTTCCTGGGAGCCTCAGGCGGCGAGGGCTCAGGGCTGGTGGGTCCCTGGGCTTCAGGGTCAGTCTGTATCTTGTGGGTGGAACTGCCACGAGCCAGCGGGAACCCATCGCAGGACGTGACCTCTGTCAGCCCCGTGGGCGATTCTTTGGCTGAGGACACAGCATGACTGCCGAGGCCATCACCTTCTGGTTTGGGGTCTGTGTCTCTGGAAGGGTCTGGGGTGGCCTCCCTAGGGACACACTCAGCCCGTGGCTCTGCTCCCTCGGTGGCGGCCGCACCTGGCTCGTCAGCAGCACCGGGAATGTCTTTGGTTGAGGGGCGTCCTTCTTCTGAACGAATTTCCGCCCGTGTTTCTAACATGGTGGCACCATTTGTATCCTCAATTTGTTCCTGGCTTCTCTTTGGTGAGAAAGAAAGGCTTTCTGGGCTTGTCTCAGGGGTCTCCGCCAGACCCTCGTGCTTGTAGCTTTCTTCTGAACTGATCTGAGGGGTCCCCTCCATCAGGCTGCCACACGGAGACCCTGGCACCCCTTCGTGCCTTAGACTCTCACAGCTGCCACCCAGGACCCCACTGCGCAAGGACAGAGCTGGGGGGCCCTCTTCCGTGTCGTCCGGGGGGAATGCCGTGTTGAAGGGACTGGTGAGCACCTGGTCCAACAGCAGAGGCACCGTCTCCGTGTCCTCAGTCCGGCGGAACTGTTGGTATCTGTCATTGTCCTCCAGCTCCTGCTTGATGACCTCAGAGAAGTCGGTGGAGGTCTTCCTGTCGGGGCTGATCTGCAGCCCCACGTCCCCCTCGGGGGCAGGTGTCCTGGGGCTGGGAGTTGCCTCCTCATCCCCAGCTGTGTCTCCGCTCTGACGCCTGCCTGCGGGACCGCGGGCTGCGGTCCCCAGGGATCCCTGGCCTCGTTTGACTGTCTGGCTGTCCACTTTCTGTGTTTCTTTCTGGCTTGGTACCTGCCCCTTGTCTCTGCCTGCCCGAACCTGGCCCTTGGCTTGGGGCTGCTTTGGTTTGGCTGATTTGTGCTCGAAGAGGCCCGTCTTGTGTTTCGATGGGTCCTGGCCTGACTGGAAAGCCTTCATCAACTCACGAACAGACATCGTCTCCTCGATTCGTTCTGTTTTTGAGGTGGGGGATACAGGTGGGTGCTTTTCTGGTTTCCCAGAAGGTGACACTGAAAGGCGCTTCTCGGTTTTCCCAGAGGTTGACACGAGTGTGTGCTTTTCTGTTCTCCCAGCGGGTGATACAGGCAGGCGTTTTTCGGTTCTCCCAGAGGGCACAGGTGGGGGTTTCTCCGTCCTTCCGGAGGGCGACACCGGTGGGCGTTTGTCTGTTTTACCTGAGGGTGACACAGGAGACTGCTTCTCGGTTTTACTTGATGAGGACGCAGGGGAGTGTCTCTCAGTTTTTGCTGACGGTGATACAGGTGGGCGTTTGTCTGTTTTGCCTGAGGGCGACACAGGGGAGTGTCTCTCGGTTTTACTTGGTGGTGACACTGGAGGGTGCCTTTCAGATTTTGCAGAGGACAGAGGAGAGTGCCTTTCTGCTTTGGGGGAGGGGGACGCTGGCACCTGCCTCTCTGACTTCAGAGGGGGGGACGCAGTCGGGCGCGGCCTGTGGCTTGTCCTCTTGGGCATGTCCTCTTTGCCTTTGACCCTGACGGGCAGCTTGCTACGGCCTTTCTGCTCATCCTCCACTCGCTTCTGGAGGGCCTTCACTTTGTCCTTAATGGAACCGATGGGGGTTTCTTCTATCAAAGGCGACGTGGCCTTGCCAGTGGGGAGAGGCTCGGGACCTAACCCTGGGTCGTCTTCCAACGACTCCTCCGAACTACATTTTTTAAGTTCCGTTTTTCCTGCACTAGCTTGGAGACTTGGCTCGTTCTGTCTCTGCTTTTCTTTTAATTTCCTCCTCGCTGGTTTCTTCACTCCCAGGCCTGGTTTCTGCTGTTTCTGCGTTGTCTGAGTGTCGTCTGTGGGGCCATGCTCCCGCTTGCTTTTGGGGCTCCCGCCCGCAGCCAGGGCCCCGCATTCGTCCCCGGCCTCCGAGGCCTGTCCCTGCGAGGTGCCTGCGGCGCGGGGCGACCCGGGGCCCTCCGCAGGGGCGCTCTGCTGGGCCTGTCGCACGTCCTCGGCGCTGACTATCACCCAGCCCTCCTCCTCCGGCTCCCCGTCTGGCGGGGACCCGGGCCCACCCCTCAGGATTTCGTTCACTCGCTCCAGGTCCTCTTTGACGCTCTCTACGATCTCGAAGGGCTCGCCGGGCTCGTCCTCACCGGCCCTGGCCAGCCCCTTGGCCGCAAGGGGTCCCGCCTGGCCAGACGCGTCTGTGGTCAAGAGGGCGGTCATCTTGATCAGGTCCTGCTTCATCTCAGAAACGTCCGAGAGCAAGTCCGGGCTCGCCAGGACAGGAGCGTCATCTGCCAGGTGACTTTTCAGGACAGACGTTTCTGTAGATTCTGTCTCATCATCTTTGACGTGAATGAGAAACATTGAAAGTAAATGGAAATCAAAAAAGATATTGGCAAATGTAATCAGGACCCAAACGACACAATGTCTTTTCCTGTCGTGGTGGGAGGGACAACGAAATGGGCTGGGATGGCGGATCCACAGGGTCTCAGGATACAAAAGCAAAGCAAGGCTAACGGAAACAAAAAAACTGAAAAGGAAAAATGAGCAGGAAATAACTTGCTTAATTTTCTCACTTGTGGCACATCCACACATCCAACAAAGCTCTGACGAAGAGTCAGGAGACACACACACACACACACACACAACATCACAAAGCAAAACACAGGACGGACACAGTGGAATTACACAGAGGTATCTCAAGATTGTTCGGATGTTACAGATCGATGTTGAAAGAAAAATAAACATGGCAAAAAAGGAAGACGGCATTAGAAATTGCAGAAAGTTCGTTTCCTCCAGGAGAAAGCCAGTAAGTAGCAAACTCAATAAATTCCCATGATGTGTATGCATTTTTAATCATATAAAAATCTGGAAGTCGGTACATTTACTTCTGCCAATATACAGTGAGTGTGGGACATGTATCTGCCTCGCTGCAAACCGGCCTTTCCTCTAAGGGAAATTCACACCTAACGATGACACAAACGGTCTTGTGCTAAGAGGCGCGTTCCTTTCCCTGGAGCGACCTCCTTGTGTAGACGCACAACGGACAGACCAAGCAGGGAAATAAAGGAAAGAAAAACAGAACCATAGTGATGCAACGTGTGTGTGTGAGTCTAAAGTTAAAATGTGATGCGTGGCAACCCAAGTCAGAGACAGTCACACGGACACACGCACAGTTACATAAGCCAAGTTATTTCCATGCAAAGCAAAGGTGGAGTAAAACTGAGAGGCGGGCTTGCTGAAACGCACGGGCAGGAGGGGGGGGTAACAGATGGGCATGGAAGCGGAACGTTACTGTGGTGAAGCGTTTTTGTCCCTGCAAGTGCGGGCACACGACTCAGGGCCGCGTCAGCGGGCGCCCCACCCAAGGCCAAGAGCGAACTCGGACTCACAGACTCTTGAAAAGACCGTGGGAAAGGGGCCCCCCAACAGCACCCCGTCTGGAGCTTATTTTATGCCGAGATGAATACCATCCAATGGCTGTCTACACTAGAAGAAAACCAAACATGAGTCTATATTTGAAAATTTAAAACATTCACAACACCCAGGCCTCATTCAGGAGAGTCCACGGCATTAGAGCAACACAGCAGCTATTTTATAACTACTGGGCCAATGGATGGGTGAATTTTTAATCCCTGTGAGCTTGCATCCAAGGAGCAAAGAAAGGGGCCCTTTAAATAAGTGTGGTAGTCCCAAACAAGAACATGGGGAAATAAAATAAAGTCTCTTTAAAAAAAGGAAATAAATGAAGGCAATGACAATGTATCATGTTTTTAATAAACAAAAGCGCCTTCTCTTGAAAGAATCAGTATTTGTTGTGGAGATATCCTCTGTGAACATGCATAAATAAATATACATTAAAATAATTCTATCAATGTGAACAGATTTGTTAAAATATAAACCAATGAAAATATCCAGAATTTCAAAGTTTCCAGTTCTGAAAAACGATTTAACATGAGGATAAGAGACTCTCAATTAAAAGCATTTCAATAACTTGGGAGTGAATTGTACTGAGCGAGGGCTGTAAGAAAGGCCCTCCGGTCCCCGCACAGGGCCGGGCGACCCTGTTAACATGGCCCTACATTTCCTCCTCTTGGGAGCACCACCCCAAAATACGGTGAATCAAAATAAGTTCTAGAACAAACAAACACTAAAAATTAGAATTTTTTTTCTAAATCATTTGGGACATAAAAGAAAGAAAAAAAACTTGAAAAATTTAAGTTCTTCCACAGAGGAAGCCAAAATCACCAGAAAGGCCCACAAACTACCATGTTAATTGACTGGGGCACCGTTCCAGTGAGTTCTCGGACAGCTCTCTTGAGGTCTGTGAAAACAGGTTCTCTCTGCACTGCATTATGTTTGGGATTTGTGTTAATTATTTAAAATTAGCTCTCTAATAAAATACTGTTGTGATCAGTAATCCCATCCAGGAGGTTTTCAGTTTTGAATTCACAGGTCTTTCCTTTCCCAGAAAGTTTTCACGAGGTCCGTGAAAGCTGCGCCCCAAGGGAGTCAGTCACACTTCACCACAGTAAGGGGTGCGGGGCGGGAGGGGCGGGGGGGTGGGGGGTCAGCGGCCGATGACCACTGACACAGTATCCCTTTTGCAGGTGTGGCTATGAAAACAACAAGCTTGCCCCCCAAGGCAATGCTGGTTGATATAAAAAGTGATACTGTCAGGTCAGGGTTTTTTAAAAAATGAGATGCGATGTTACAGGTTAACGGAGGATGGACAAAATGGGGGTGGGTCCGTAAACAAGCAGAACAGCAGCAGGCGACTGGGATGTCACAAGAAAGTGAATGCTCACGAGAACAGTCACTGCATTTCACTGCTAATTACTGGGCTGTCAGAAAAGTCATGACGCATTTTTGCAATGAAAACCATAGAAAAAATACGTCATGACTTTTCTGACAACCCAATAGGTCACCTGTTAGATGCACTTGTAATGTAACTGGCCAAGCTGATTTTCTAAACACACATTAATGATTAATGAGAATATAAAAGTATAATTTTCATAGCGGTTAGTAAAGGCAACTAGCTTGCATCTTAATTCATGCTTCTCTTTATTGTAGCCAGCTTTCACACAAACTTAATTCGTTTAAAAATCTTACTTTTTTCTGATGTCATATCGATCTGAAAGAAAAGATACATAAATTGCACAGTTATAAATGGCGTCTTGTCTCCCAGCCCAATGTGCACAGTCAGCTCACACACACGGGGACACATGTGCACACGCCAGAGGGACGCCAGGGAGTCTGTAAGCGCTTCCTGAGCCTCTCCTGGCTTCGTAGCGTAACTTTGAAAGCAGAAATCTCCTTTCTAGACACTACAGATAGTCCTTCTTAACATGTTTTTCCTGGGACGATATGATCCAGGCTATGTTTGATGTTAGAGTACATATTCACTAGGGAAAAGGCAGGAGGAGAGCACAAGAGGCACTGAACAGTAAGTGTCAGTCGGCTGAGAAAAAGCAGCGTGGTGATACGTTCTATGACGTAGTGTTGTTAATTACAGGCCAGAAGCACACCCTGGAAGGAGGTCAGAGTGCATCCACAGCTCTGAACAGCTCCTGAAACTACTCAACAGAAACACCATGAGCCTGGTGGGAAAAGCTCGCGTGGCCACAGCTAAGTCGGCTTCGCAGCGGCGCTGCTCTGCCAAGAAGGTGCGCAGGTGTCCCTTCCAACTGCTGTGGGGACTGAGTCACAAGCACAGGAAGGACACTGAATGTGTGTGCCAGAGTGACCGACAGCTGAGGGGAGAGTGCCTTCAGTCTTGTCATGGGCTTCTTGTGTGTATGGTGACAGGCGGCAGTGAGTCTGCAGCCACTCCTCGTCCTGCCCCTCGGCCAGGGAGCAGTGAGGAAGGACACCCAGGGCATTCTCTGAACCAATGAGACCTTACATGTTAAGCTGGTGGGCTCAAGGGCATTTATTACATTTTCCTTTATATTTTTCAAATCCACCAAAATAACACTAGAAAGTAAAACCAGTAGATTTGAAAACGTTTACGTGGAACTAGTAATAACTGCGTTTGTCTATCTTAGAAATAGGAACCAGGATGCTAATCAGTAAGTACGTGGACTTCCCAATGATTTCTCTCACTTCTATGATGTCTGGGCGTGTTCAGATATTTACAAGCACAACACACATACACACTGGCTTAAACTACGGAAGCAGGTGTAGTTCACGGCTATTTAGTCACAGTAACCTCTCTAAGACTCGCGTCCTTCATCTGTGGTGAAGGTACCCCTGCAGGGTGACGAGACGTCAGAGGTGGCGAGGTGAGGGGTGCCCAGGGACATGTGCTCACGTCTGCGGGCACCGTGCCACGAGGCTGGTGGCGTCCCCTGCATGAACTGTGTGCCCTTAACGTTCTGGGTCTCAGTGGTTCTCCAAGTTTCTGGTCTTAAGGCCCCTTTAAACTCCTAAAATTATTGAGGATCCTGGAGAACTTTTATGATTAATATAAATCAATAAATATCTGTATTACAAATGAAAGCTCAGGAAATGCTGGAAGCCAAGTATACACACACACACCCCGGACTGTCCGAGTGAGGATGCTTTCAGCAAAAATTCCTGTGTGGCTTGTGAGGATGTGCGAGTTAGAAGGTGAATAACGTCTCGGTACAGTTAAGAGAAGAATGCTGACCTCCAGGTATCTCCAGACTCGCCTTTGAGACCCACGGGGGGAATGGCCCGGTCTGCAGCATTTGGTAGAGAAACACCTATTGTTGCAGAGTCCGGGTTACAATTTAGAGCGAAACTGCACTGTTCTCTGAAGTCAGTCCACAAGATGGAAAAACGAGGCTCAGAGAGGTTAGTCACAAGAACAAGTGCACAAGCCTTCTAAGAACACAGGGCCACCTGGGACACAGCGGGAACAGGCGACAAGGCCACACAATTACCTCTTCCTCCTGTTCTTGATCTGACTCTGAGTCCTGGCCGCCCAAGTGCCATGCAGGATGGGGAAGAGAGCGGGAAGAGCAGACAGTGTTTAGAAGACAAGATTAAACGCCCTGCCCACACACAAAGGCAAGCGTAGCCAGGTACGCTTGCGTTTCTCACTGACAGTCCCCAGGACACGGGCACAGACATGAAGAGGACTGAGTTAGATGCAAAAGCCTGTCGATTCAGAGACAAAAGAACCCAGATTACAAATATATTAATTTCAGATGCTCGGTCACCAGCAGCCTAATGGATTTGATGGCACATGTCTTCACGAGCGGTGATGACAATATCCCCGCCATTGCGTTTGGCTGAAAATGCTAGTAGAAGCCACAAATGAGCACATGGTGAATATAGTCTCAACACACAAGCAACATTTAGGAGTTGGATTATCACAAAGAGCCGTTAAATTCTAGGATGTATCTGAATTGTACAATGTTCGGCACCTTTTTTATTTTGTTTTGAGTTACCAGGTGCCAAGCTGCCCGGGGCCATCACAGCATTAATAACTGTCTGGCCGGCCCTGACTTAGAAATACAACATAAAAAGACAGCGAATGCTTTTGTGACAGCACTCTGAAGGCTCACTGAAATCAGAGACAGAGCTCCGTCACCTTCCTACACAGATACGGTTTCGTTTTATTTTTAACATTCAGTAAGAATTTACAACGTTAAAAAGATGCTCTGAGCTTTTCTCTCTGCTTGATCTCCATGTACAAGAACAATACGTTAAGAAAAACAGACTGGTGGGTAAAAAGAAGTATAGGCAGTGCTTTGCTGGGTGGAGTCCCGACTGAGGATTTTGAATATATTTCAGTCCTCCTGCCGCTATTCAGCCCCTCCCCAACCTCCAGCAACACGGACAAGTGGCCACAACCTCCGATGTGGACGCTCTCATCAGAAAGGGACGCTGGTCAAAATGTTTTTATATAAAAAATTGTATCCCCAACATTTAATGCATTCAGTTGTCCTCTTTGATTTGATCAGAGTAACCAAGAGTATTTCTGTATAATCAAGAATAATTCTGCAGTGGGGAGAGCTTTGCATAGAAAGTAACGCCTATAGGCTCTGGGTCAGGAATTAAAGAATTTTTCCATTTAAACAATGCTTTGAATCTGCTCCTTGCAGCCTGGGAGTATTTTCTACTAAATCATATTAAAATAGTTGAAAAATTAATTTGATACTCCAAAAATATTATAGGCTATACGATGAACAGGTAATTATTTTACAACAATTTAAAATATCATTGGGTTGCTCTGAACTTAACAAGTAGAACCCACCTGTGAGCTGGTAGGACACAGAAGCTAATGGGCTCAGGATTTTTGGTACCAAAAGTACCAGTATGGTCCCAGAAGGGCACATCAAAACAATAATGAAGACAAAGCCAGTTATTTGATTTTTAAAAATTAGTCCAAAAAATTAAATCTTAAAGTCAAGTTTTCTCTCTTCCATATCCAGTATGCATTTACAGAAATTTTTGCATCAAAGTGAATTTAAGGTGAAATAAGGTAGATAGAGCTGCTATATTCCTCACTTCAATGAAAAATCACACATTTTACAGGGAACCAGGAATGACTGTCCCCGTGCCTGCATTCAGTGTCTCTGCTCTTGTATGTAAAGGACCTGAAGATCAAACCCGACCCTGCCGGAAGCACAGCACAGCAAACCCCACAGTACCTTTATGTAAACGGGCAGGGTGATGTTTAAGTTGCAAATGGCTTGATGCACCAGGCCTCTCGTGGATTTGGGCTCTTTCATAAACGACAGGCGTCCACAAGGCTCCTGAGTTGTGTCCCGTACCTTGAACAAAAAGTCAGCCATGCGTCACTCATGGTGCCACTGTTTCTTCCAAGTACAAGGTGTGACCAAACAATACAGTGAATGTTTAAATTAAAAATGTTATTACAGTTAAAGACACATTGCCACTAATCCCCCTCAAAATACTCCCCCTCGCTTCGAGCACACTTATTGCATCATTCTCGCCACTTTCTGAAACAGTTCTGGAAGTCCTCCTTTGTGAGTGTCTTTAGTTCACCCTCCATCATGACAATGCTCCGTGTCATACATCGCTTCTGGTACGGCAATGTCTGTCAAATAAAAACATTACGGTGTGTCCTCATCCACCTTATTCACTGAATCTAGCCATGCGACTTCTGGCTCTTCCCCAAAGTCAGAATGACTCAGGACATCGAGGCAGCCGTGACAGCGCAACTAAAGACACTCATGAAAGAGGACTTCCAGAATTGCTTCAGAAAGTGGCAAGAACGATGGGATAAGTGTGTTCAAAGTGAGGGGGAGTACTTTGAGGGGGTTAATGGCAATGTGTCTTTTACTGTAATAATTTTTTTATTTAAACATTCACCATGTTTTGATCACACCTTGTAGATGACACTCAAAAGAACTGGGGAAAAATAAAATTCATTTCAGAATGCTAAGTAAAGATTCTGAGGCTGCTTCTTTTTCCCTTTCCTACGATCACTTTAAATGACTTTTTAAAAAAATCATTTGGCTTTAAAAAGAAAAACTGTGGTGAAATATACATAACTAAATGTACCATTTCCATTGTCACACGTCCCATTTTTAAGTGTACATGTCGGTGGCCTCAGCACATTCACAGACTCCTACTACACAGAATTCTCCGTCATCCCAGACAGGAGCGGTGCCCCCTGCCCAGCAACCCCAGCCTCCACCCCCTCCAGCCCCTCGTGACCTGGATTCCACCTTCTGGCTCCACGCCTGCCTCCCCCAGGGCCTCATACAGAGTCACATAGTATCTGTCCTCCTATGACTGGCCTATTTCTCTCAGCACAGTGTCCCCAAGGTCCATCCGTGCTGGAGCGTGTCAGGATCTCCTGCCTTTGTAAGGCTGAGAAACACCAGTGCACGTATGAACCATGTTTCTTTATCCATTCATCTGTCAGTGGGTATTTGCAATGTTTCCAGCTTTTGGTGAGGAATGCTTTTATGAACATGGGTGTGAAAGTAACCGTTTGTGTTCCTGCTTCAAATCCTTTGGGGTGCCGACCGAGATGTGTGCCTGCTGGGTCCTGTGCTGAGTCTCTGAGTTCTGAGGACTCGGCACACGGCTGCCCTCGGCAGCAGCACCATCCACGCCCCACCAGCCAAGCATCAGGGCCCCGGTTTCTCCACATCCTCGCCAACACAGGTTATTGTCTGGTTTTTCTCTTTTTGAGAACAGCCATCCTAATGGGAGGAAGCGGTATCTCACTGCGGTTTCAATTTGAATTTCCCAAAGCTGTTGAGTGCCTTTTCATGTGCGTATTGGCCACGGGTGTACCTTCACTGGAGAAGTCTATCGAAGTCCTTTTGTGTTGGGTTGTTTGTAGAATGATTTTTGTACATCAAGGTATCAGCTGTCAGCTTAGTTACACAGCTGCTGGTGATAAACAGACCCATCGCCCCTCAGCCATTTCTGCTCACTGTGATCTGCAAGAACTTACTTTAATCAGGCAAAAACCATCGACCAGAAATGGCACGAGAGGCTCGGGAGAGGACTTGAAGAACTTGGACCCAAAACAGCGAAAAGAGGTTTCTAGACACGTGCTTGGGGGAATTGTGAGCGTTTAAGATAACGGAATCACTGAAGATGGTCTATTTGGGAATGAGTCATGAGCAGCAGGACAGGAAACAGCTCATGGACCAGCTCCTGTCCCATGGGGACTGGGCACTGGGACCTCCAGATTCATGAAATACGTTGTGAGAAACGAGAAAAAAAACAAGTGGCTGGAGAAATCGAGCTGAACAAACTTATTCTTTCCTTTTATTTCATGAATCTCTCATTCTGATATTTTGGTCCATCCTCAGACCTGGAATCCAGAGTGAAACCTGCATATGTCACTGCAAACTCCTGACTGGGATGAAAGTCCCTGAACACACACCACAAAACCATGGTGCACTGAGGTGTCTCCACAGGCGTTTGCTGAGTGAATTCATGAACGCAAACCCAGGCTACAGCCCTGTCTGGGGTAATCTCGTAAAATAAAAATGACTGGTTTTATAGGACTTTAAAATGTTATAGATGTGGTTTTAAAAAATCACTGGAATGACTGAAGTGCAAATATTCTCTCCTATAAAGGAAGTCATATTCTTATGTGATCTTGAATAAAATGCATGACCAAATTCCACGTAGATATTACCTTGACAAAGAGAGGAAGTCTGTTTTCTTTGAAGGCAAAAAAACTGAATATATGATGCTGGCCACTCTTGGTTAATGGCACCAGGTTGCCAAAACAATCCACATAGATGGGTTTTCCTTCTAATACCTGGTGAAAACAGGGAAAAATACAAATATAATAGCTGCAATTATTATTTATTGACATAAAGAAGTGGTGGTACCCCTTGAAACATTAAAATCTACACACAACAATCTCTAACTTGCTGACATTCTGTCTCGTCTGTGACAAAGCCTGTCCCCAGCGTCCCCTCTTCTTATGTAATAGGAACCTTTGAGTGCTTGGTGGCATTTAACGTTGCTGCCCTCACATCTAACACCGCATCACACCACCTGCCAAAACCAATATATCTTTAAATCCTAAGCTTAAATTTCTGATCAGGTAATTTTGCCATCACAATGAGTCAGGGTCCTCGACTGCAGTATCCAGAGGCCGACACTGATGAAAAACTCTGAAATAAAAAAAAGTAACACAGAAAAGCCTGGCATTGCAGTTTCACATTTAAAAAAGGATATGACTGTTTTCTTTACTACAAAAAATTACTAAGAACAACAAGGAAAGATAAAACACCTGAACTGTTACAGGGACATACATACTTTATCATAAATCATCATTTTTTCCACGACAACCTTTCCGTCCTTTACCTGAGAACAGCCCTACAGGACGGGTCCAAGATGGCTGATGCCGGACTGGACCGTCACCTTCTACCTGATCACGAATGACATGGACTGGTCTTATTTAGTTAGGACTCTGCTTATTAAGTACTATTTAAATATACTCTGTTGATAAAGTTATGAGCAACACGTTGACATCAACTGTTCTGTAACTACGTACCTCCACGTCCCGGCTTCTGGCCACCTCGGCAAAGTTTTCTTGCTGTTCCAGGGTCTTGTCCACCTTGTCATCGGTCATGCAGAAACATCGCAACCTGGCTTCAATGGGGTCGTGCGACTTGGCAAACACGACGAATTTGGCCATATATGGTACGCAGATAATCTCTCTATACACTTGGGATGCAAAGGCCACGGATTCCTGGATTTGTCTGCAATCTATCAGCCAGAACCTACGCATGAAAGAAGGTCAGTTATCTGAAATCCCAAGGACATCGGGCGAAAACAAACAAAACCAGTTCCTTCATTATGATCAAAGTAGGCGTTAAGTGCTTCTTATGAAAAGAAGGGAGACGGGAGACAATGAGAGAAAAGGGAGGCAGAGAGGCCAGGAGGGGAGGCGGGTGGCGGTGGCAGGGAGGAGCGGGGAGGGGCAGGCGTGAGGCCAGCAAGCCCACCCTGTGCCTGCAGCTGCCCTCCGAGTGCCAGCCTGCTGAGCTCTGCCTCTGCGCCCAGCGTCTTTCGGTGGCACAAGCGACGTACCGGACACTGTGACAAGGACATCGCCGCAGGCGGTCCTGGTTCCCTTGGGCACCTCCCAGTCCTTTCATTTCCTGAACTCTTTCCAATAAAACCTACCCAGCTTTTCCTCGTCTCATCATTCTTCTCCAAAAACCTCTCCAGTCCCTAAGGCTGCATCAGTCCAACAACCATCTTGCTCCAGATCTTGTAAACGCCACTGAACGGAACTCCTAGAAGACATCCCTGGCGGCATGCCTACTTTCTGACTTGTAGCCTCACAAGTCTGTGCACCGCTTAGCGACTTCATCCCAGCATCGTTTCGTCCGGTGGTGTGACGCTCACTAACCTGCACAACACTCCCGACTCCCCTCCATTCGGGCCCCAGGAAGGCCGACACCACCCAGAAAGTCAAGGACGTCAGATGGACATCATCTCAACTTATACACTTGCAAAGGTTTACTCCACACCCGCGTGCTCTGAAACCTTTATCCATCAATCATCTCTCCTTCCTGGACTCACTTCCCGTAGTCTTCAAACATTTCTGAGGGTTCCTCTCTCTCTCTCTCTCTCTCTCTCTCTCTCTCTCTCTCTCTGTCTCTCTCTCTCTCAGGACAGGGCAGGCTGACACACAGGCTGCTGCTGGCTGGCAGAGCAGCGCGTGCCACGACACCAACTACCAATGCCATGCCCGGCCTCTCACCGAATCGCTCCTGCCTTTCTGTCTCCTCCTTCCCCCTGATCAGGACTTTAGCTTTAACCACTGTCAGCTTCTGTTCTGCCATCTGTAAAATGGGCAAGTCCTCATGGCCCACTGAAGGCACAAAGCTGTAATAAAACGAAACGACTGGGAAAGTGCCAGCAATCCATTATTAATGCATTAGGTCATAATAAACTGAACCAGTGTGTGCATATGGACTAGCAATGGGCAGCGCCAGTGTGTTCGAGAAGTGGGACACGCAGAGGGTAAGAAGTCAGTGTCAGACGTGGGCACCAGTGCAACCTCGAACTGCTTCTGCAAACCACAGTTGGCTCTGGGGTTGAGTCACCCTGTTGAAAATGTAGTGCAGGCTAGCTTGTTGGCGGCAGGAAATGCATCGTTCCTACGACCTTTGGGACCGGCAAAAGCAGCAGTGGCTGCTAAAACCAGTCAGGGTCACGCAGTCACTTCCTTTCCTTAGGTTTTGATCTGCCTGGCTGGACTCGGTTACTGAATCATCAGTTAAATTAGCTGGTAGGGTCTAGCGCAGGGGTCGGCAAACTGCAGCTCGCGAGCCACATGCGGCTCTTTGGGTGTGTACACGTGGCTCTGAAGTAAAACTGAAAATGAAAATAAAACTATCATAGTTTCATTTATAAAACTCTTAAAGGGTATTATTCACATAATGGTGATTTCATTTGTTTTATGGCTCTCGAGTAATTTTTAAATTGTTGTGAGGTACAGGATTGGCTCTTCCATCTCAAAAGTGTGCCGACCCCTGGTCTAGTGTAAAATATCAGCGTAAATGCAGACTGTATTTAAAACCAAACCAAAAAAATTCACTTTTAAAGAATGCAAGAAGCAAAACAAACAAAAGACATTGGGGGGAGGGGGCAGGCAATGTCACAGTGGGCTTTTCTGTGCTGTGTGACCATACCTGGCAGACACATTGGTCGTGAAGGAAACACATTCGTTGACAAATGTTAATGGTGTAGTCCCTGTAATATCTTCCCATTGGGCAGGAGTGGTTCCACCTAAAATAATAGGATTGTTGGAAAAAACTGGGCAACACTCCAGACCTCAGGTTGTAAAATCATGTCTGTGGTCTGGCTGTGCTCAGCAGCAGAAACCCACCCACCCCTCACAACGACACACTGGAAACAAAATGGCTAAAAACTGCATCCTAAAAACCAACAGGGAGAACAAACAGGCCACCACCTTCCAAAGAACTGAATTGAAGGGAGTTTATTTGAACAACTGCTTCAAATTACTAAGTATTCTAGTCTCTGCCTGACATTCTGAATCTTATTGTGATCGCTCGACTCTGAAGATAAGTATGAATTGTATACAGTTGGTGATTTTAAAAAGTCTTGACCAAGAAAGGAGTTGAATGCTTTGTTAAAATAATGAAAACACCCAGATGTTCTCTTCTTCCTAAACTTCATATTTTATGCAATTATTTTCATGAAATAAAATTTTCTCTCAATTTGCAATTGAAAGTTGGCAAAAAAAATTGCTTGGAAAATATTAAGAGATCAGTAAGTACTGCAGTGAATGGACAAATGGACGAATGCCCAAGGAAGGCCTCTGTGCATTGAAAAATCGCCACAGAGACTACTGACAACTTTCATTCCTACTGGGAAACCCAGTTGGCGTAGAGGAATATGAGTTTGAGACAAAGAGAAATCGTGATTCTAAAGTTTCTTAAAGGGAGTTATTAGAGAAACGGCATGGAAACTTATTCTAGTTAGTAGCCTCCGTGTACGAAGTCTTAGCAGAACTATATAACAGAGCACGACACAAATGTCCTAACACCGTTAACATAATTTCTAAATCCATAACTAAATCTAAGAGGTGGTTTAGTACAAATTCATGTGAAGACGCAGGGCTGATGGCATCGAGGCCCATCTGGGGTATCTACACGTGATCGCCGACGAGGCGGGCGTGTCTGGGCAGTTTCCCTCATCTCACTGCCAGGCCATTATGTGGCCCGAGACAGAAGGGTAATCTTATACACGTTGACCAAAAAGTATGGGAAAGACCCAGGAATGCTAGCTAAGATCCAGCAATGAGAATCCGGGAAAGAGCCCATGAAGGGCGTGTAAGAGCTCCCCCTACGCTCATTTTAGCCCATTTTAAATTCTCCATGTTACTATTAAACTGAGGGGGTAAAGTCTCAATGGTTTGCTAGCTTAAGTGCAGAGAAATCATTACTAAGAAGGGAGAATGAGAGAGGACAACAAGAGAGAGACCACGCCTGCCAACACGGAGGAGAACTTCCCACAAGTCCTGGACAAGTGGGGACGGCCACTATTCCTGCTGACACCGGCATGAACATTCCCGCACGCCGGTGTCACACAGCTACTGGTGAGTAAGGACAAGAGCAGTCAGGCGGTGACCTCACCATCTGGTGCTGCGCAGGGACGACCGGTGTTCTGGCCGTGTCAGGAGTTTAGTGGTTGTCTGAAAGCCATCACGGCTTCCAATGGAAAAGACCAAAATCCAGTTAATCATTAAAAACCTTTACATTGTTTTTCCCAAGTTATTGCAACAGATCAATGGTAAAAATAAAACCAACTCCTAGACAGAAGAGTTAGGTTTGAACTACTGGGTCTAATTTTTCAAGATGGTGTTTTTCCCCAGATATAAAATGATATCCGCAGTGAGGCTTCAGAGGTGATGGGCTTGGGTTCGAGTCCCTACTCTGCAAACATTTATGGTAAATGCCGGCAAGTCTCATGGAACTTCGCTCACCCTCGGTTCCTTTTCAGTAAAGTGGGGTTAAGTCTCCTGACAGGGTTCCTGTGAGGTTCAAGTGACAAAGCATTGACGTGTCTCCAAGCTGCCACACAGACTCCATCAGTAAGTATCAGTTCATTTCACCTCACCTTCTGTTCCCTGCTTAATGAGGACACTCTTCCTGGACTGAGTCACAGAGCCCTACTGGCGTCTCATGACACCGGTCATCCAATGTGACGAGGACATAAGTTTCTTCTTTCAGAATGTTCTACTCGCATCCTCACGTGCGACTCACCTGTTATGCTGCACAGTAATCTCAGGGTTGGTGCTTCTCCTCCAAAGCCATTCAGCATGACGTCACTCACAGCTTTGGGGACAGGGATGGTCATGGTGATTGGCTTATGGAATTTTCTCCTTCTAGGTTCCAAAGTGACTATTGGGCTGAAGGTGGCTTTGTTGCCCAGGATCTTCTTAACCAGCTCACCGTGCATAGGCTGAGCCTTTGCAAAGATAAGAATTTCAATAAGCAACAGCTCTATTGCATGTAAACTTGTCACTCAGTGCACCAGCCAGTCTGGTGGCTTCCAGTGGGGAACGGTGACGCAGCACCGGTACGCGGCACAGAAAGCATCGCGCGGCCCAGGAGGCCCACGGCACCCCGCTGGCCGGCAGCATCAGCCCCTGGACCAGCTGGTCTCTGACCCCGCCCAGCCCCCCGCGGCGCCCACGCGGCCTACCTGCAGGCCCACGCGGATCCGCTTGGTCAGCGCGCCCTCGGGGAACACCGCCTGCACCTGCGGCACCACCGTGCTGCTCAGCACGCCGCCCTCGGGCCCGATCAGGTGGCTGTCCTGCTTGACGCGCGACACCACGGCGAAGTACTGCGGGAAGTCGCGCGTGACGATGCGGCAGATGCGCTTCCGGTCCAGGTCCTCGGCGCTGTCCAGCACTGCGGACAGCGACACCACCGAGCTCGCCAGGCGCCCGCAGCCCCACGCCCTGCTTTTTTTCTTTGTAACAGGAATAGTTAAGAGCAAGGGCATCCTAACCCCATGAGAAAAACCTGCCGCCTTTCAAGACCTGTCTGCAGTTTCTTTGTGGGGACAGGTCTTTGCAGGGCACGTGAAAGAAAAGCATCTGTCTCCAGGCACAGGGTTCCTGGCCGCCCGGGGCCGGAGGGGCTTTAGGGCAAAACTAGTGAAAGCAATCTGCTCTACTCCTGGTTCACGGGAGGGACCGAAATTGTCCACGCCTTTTCTTTGCAAATCCCAAAGTTACCTCCAAACCACTTATGGTGGTTTTAAGAAGAAATGTGGCCCTTTCAGTTCTCAGGGGGGACAGTGTAGGAATAGAGAATGTGTCTTGTAAGAGTAAGAATTGTGTTTGTGTGTTTACTCCAGGGGGCTGACTGTCTCTCAGACAGTCACTGTGGATGTTAAAAAAAAAAAACCCAGGGAATATGAATTCAGGGTTTCAATATCCCCCTGAAACCATTAGCTTCCCAAACATACGTAACATCAGGAGGATGCGATCACAGGCTTTTTATAAATTGCATTAATGCAGACATGGAGGGCAAGAAAACAGACTGCTTTAAAGTGTAGAAAACTGGAATCAGGTGGATCACTGAATGGTAAGGGATTATGGAAAGCCACTCAATTTCAGAAGTCACCAGCAGTCCCCCATGTGAGGCAGGACTGTTTTCTTGCCTGCGCAGAAGTGGGCAGTAAGTGCAGCGCCCCGGGGGCTGGTCACACATAACGGGAGACAACGCACGGCACAGCCAGTATATGCCAGAAAAGAACCTATTTCCACACAGAGCAACCCCAAATCACACAAAACTGATTCTGGTTTGAAACAAGCTTTCTACCTATGCGGAAAATTTAAGAGTGGGTGCCCACACGGACGACACACCCATGCTCACACGGGGCTGGTGACAGGTAAACCTCAGTGTAGGCAACAGAAATGGTTCCAAGCAGATGGTGGCATGGGGCCAGCCTGATAAGTGACAGTCCCAGTCCCTTCACTCTTGCTGGAAAGACTGACCTAAAAATGTCTTCTCCCATCCGCCCCTCACACCAGGTCGGTCTGACCTCTATTGTCACTGGAGCTGGGCAGGATGCAGAGGGGACACAGAGGCAGCTGCCACACCCCACGCGGCTGCCAGTCGTCTGGAAGGAACAGCTACACAGCTGAGCACCGCCCGGTACGGGACTGGGTGTGCCCTCGGCACTTAGATGAAGACCTGCCTGTCTGTGTGGTAGCTGAGAGGGGAACACGTCTCCTGACACGAGGACTGGGACCCAAGGAGGTCCAAGCACAAGCCACACCCTCGCTTCAAACTGACATGCTTCAGCCTGCGGCTGCCGGCCCCAACCAGCCCTGCGGTTTGGAGAGCACGGGCGGCCCTCAGGGAGCACGTCCCTCCGCTGTGTCTGGGCGTGTGTGTGATTCGACCTGGTAAGCCTCTTTCAACTACATGCACAAATCTGAACTTCATCTTCCTATATCCTTAATAATAGAAAGTTCAAAACAAATTACATTATCCTGTGATGCACTAGTTATGGGCACGTGCAAGTTTCCAGCAGCAAGCCCACCACTTTTTCTCAGTGTCTTAAACATCTCAGCTTTCATTTTTAAAAATCATGGCGTTATCATCCAGTATCAGTTCATTTTGTTATGAAACAATATCTGTTCTATCTCGTGTTTTAGGTCTGAAAAAATTTTACAGTAAAGATGGAGCATGCTTTATCATCTCACTACTAAAATGAGGTATTTACTATTTAAAGGATTTGGATTTTATTTTCCTAAATGTAACAACAGCAGAACAGCCAAATATATTGTGCCATCTAACTCATCTGCACTGGAACAATCCAGAATACTTGCTGTGGCAAAATTACACGAAAGACACACACAGTCACACAGACACACAGACACACAGACACAGACACACACACACACACACACACACACACACACACACACCACCCCCACCCCCCCGTCATGAGGAAGAAACGCATCATTTTCATGCTTCCGCCTCGGAGTCCTTCCGAAACATGACAGGAAGTACCTTCGTCCATGCCGTTAAGGATCGCGTTCAGCTCGTCCTCAGTGTACTCGCAGAAATGCTCTTTCCAGCTGTCTCCGTTCTCACTGCGCAGGACCACCAGCTCCCTCTCCTTTCCTCGAAGGGCGGCGAAGTGCGGGATCTCCACGATCACGGGCCTGGCACAGTAAGGCAGAACACTCAGTGTGGACAGGAGCCAGCCAACAGCAGACAAGCACCGTGACTCCGTCTGTTGCAAAGTGACCTGGAATTCTCCTCTTTCTGGGGACAGGGACATAGCGGGCCGTCCTCCGAGCCCACGGCCAGCGGATGGTCGCACAGTAGCACTCCACCTCGGGGGCACTGGTCCTCGGGGACATGCTGCCACCTTAAGCCCAGTGCTGTTTCCCTGTGAGTGCATGTGGCATTCTGGAACTTCTCCTTTGATAAACGTAAGTGTGACACATTAACCAAAGAAATGTGCATGCATGTATGTCTACAATGTGTGCCGATGGCCTAAGGCACTTTCTACAAGGTGCAAAATGACAGAATGGCTTGGGAGGGAAACAGCTCATCTGCGGCATAATGCGATGGGAAGTAGATGAGATGTCAGAGAAGTTGGCCCCTCGGGGCCTACAGAGACATGCACTCGTGGGCTGGCCTGTCCTCCCTTCATTCGGGACACAACAGGCGCGTGCACACGCGTGGCCACTGAGCACGCCAGCCCTAGGTGCAGTGCCCGTGATACTCAGGCCCGGGCATGCAGCGTCCTACTCAGGTCGCATTCACCCTCAAAGCTTCCAGAGGCTTTCCATTTTCAGTCCAGGTTGCTTTGATACAGACTCCAAGTTCATCATAACAACACTGTAACTAGCACACAGGACAACTAGGCGGATGTCATGCTTTAAACAAAAATGAAGGTCACAGCACTTTAAGGGAAAAGATAGAAAAACATCACTCAAAAACAAAAGTCACATACCACAGGGGTCAGAAATGGTCCACTAAAGATAGGTTATACAGAATTTAAATCATAGAGAGGGACATGTCATGGGCACAATGACAAAAAGGTAAATCATATTGCAGGAGGAGAGGATGGGGGCCAGCAGCCATCGGTTGGTTTGAAGTCACTCCTACCCAAGGAATTTGGTTCCAGGAGGCCCCAGCTGAAGGATGCGGCTGACCAGACTTTCTCCCTCATTAAGTGGGGGAGGGGCCGTTGGCAGGTGCAGCTTACTGAGCACATCCAAAGCAGCAGTGAAAGAAAGAACAGAAGTGAGCTTCAGGGGTGTTTTCCACCGAACCCCAGTGTCACCCGCTGGTCACCAGGGTGCAGTCTGGTTTGGTCCTGCCCCCTCCATTGGTCACAGAGCAAGGAGTGAGACCCAGAGTGCTCAATGGAGGCGCGTGCATGGGGCGCAACGGGGAGTCGGCCTGTCCCCAGTTAGGTTCACTGCCAGGACACAAGCCGGAAAAGAAAAACGGTGCCCCACAGAAGACGAAGCTGCTGGGAATGTAATGAAAACTCAGGCTCCATAGAGGCCGGGTGTTTTCATGGCTATTCCTCCACAGATCTGAAGGTTCCTGAGAAGCCTAGACGACCTGAGCATGCCGGAGGGGGGACTGGGACCCACTGTGACAGGAACGGCGGGTGGGGAGCTCCGCCGGCCACACGGCGTTTTCTGACGCGCCCCCGAGCGGCACGGGTTCCTGCTGAGCCCTGGGTCTGTCTGGCGGGAGGTGTTTTCTCAAACTGGGAAAGAGACACAGCCCTTTCCAGGCGCCGACGTAATTTGGAACAAAGTGTTCCCAGTTCGCCCCAAATTACGAGGCTTTAGAACGTTTCCTGGGTTCTAAAGCAAGAAATCCTCTCCCCGACATGACATGGGCAAAGCAAGGGTTCACGATTAACAGGATTTTCTCCTAGTTTTCGAGCACAAAGGCTTGCTATAACTAGACTTAAACACAATTGATTTGTTTCAAAATGTTTTGAAATGTGTCCCCCTCCAAAACGTCATCCTTTCATCAGTTCTCAGTGGAAGCTGTTCACTTCTTGGCATGTTGAAATCTGACTTCGTAAAATAGCCGCCGTACAAACAGATGAAAGAAGAAATGCTAGCTTCTGCTCAAAACTGCTAAAATGAGTATGGCGGAAGTTAGTCTTGATTTGCCATCTTAATGAAAACTATGACTAAATAGAAGGCAAGTGGAGATTTTAAGACCCAAGGTAGCAATTTTGATAACAGAAGAGACATATCACGTAATTCGTGGACACTGGATAAAAGCAACAACTGCTTTCCAAAGTAAAGATAACGATTATTTCATAACCACGAGACTTTATGTTTGGAATAGAGTAACATTTCTTCTTATGACCGTATCATTTAAGTCTCAGAGGAAAAACAAAAAACACATGCCATTGGCTATTCACACTGGAAGTCCAGCCACTGCTATCACTTCCAAAGAGAAAGAATGAATTAACCTGAATGCTGGACTCACTGACTTTACAATAAGAGCCATGGAAGCGGAGTCCAGCACTGAGGTGCTACTTCCGATTTTAAAAGCTTTCCTGGCGGCTGATCTTCCTCCAGAACGTTTTGACGTACCTGTTTCCATCCCATCCTAGTGCTGTCGGGCACAAGCTCACTGGTGACTAAGTGGGAGGTTTATCAGAAGCCCTTACCCAAGGAACTGAGCGCCCGACGGTCCGACTTCGATCAGGCGGCTGGCCAGGCCCTCTCCCTCCACCATCGGGGGCATCGTTGCCAGTCGGTGGCGCTTGACCAGTCGGCAGGTGACCCGTGTGGGGGCCGTACACTTCCGCGGGGGTATGATGATGCGAAGCCCGTTGTGTCTGCATCCTCTCATGGCCCCACCGCGGGCATCCACCATGAAACTAACCAGGAAACTACAAGTCAAAATAGGAGATTAGATGGGTTTTGAAATAGCTGAGGCAGATAAACAAGATCTGTTGAGTTAATTTTCTTCATAATGCACTGTTCCCAAAATACCTTGTGTCATTTATATGCAGGGTGGCAAAAATTTGTCCTTAAGAGTTATTTTATTTATACCAATGTCTTCATTTCTGTTCTAGTGTTGTTTTAATTTTTGTATTATTTTTGTCTGCAATCTAAGACAATTTTTGCTAATTTCTGTTGAAAATGGTGATGATAAATGTAAATTGTAAATAAATATATATCCAAAAGGCTTAGAAAGTAGAATGAAATTCTATAAAGAACATGGATGAGGCTCCTTTTGTTATAAATGCAAAGACTTTTGCTTCCTTCTGTGTGTGTCCAGAAAAATCCACACACTGAAGTCACGGAAGGATGGGGGGACCCACACA